CGGCAGCAAGACTCATGGAGCCTGTGCTTGGAAAGAGGAGGGTAAGTGGTGTACAAAAATCACCCCCCCACAGACGTCAGCTCAGCGCTCTGAGCTAGTGGCAGCCACAATGGCATTTTTTCATTTTAAAGATCAACCCTTTAATTTGATCCTGGACAGTTTATATGTTACCCAAATTGTCAAAACCATTTTTGATTCTTATTTAGCACCAAATGTCTCTATGGATCTATTAACATTATTTTTGGACTTGCAACATCTCATAAATGATCGGAAACACCCATTTTTTGTTGCCCATATTCGTAGCCATCAGCCCTTTCCAGGTCCACTCCAAGAAGGCAATGATGTTGCCGATGCTGCCGCCTCACAAACACCTCTTAATATGCCACTCACTTTTTTAACCCCTTGGGAAAGTCATTCCTATTTCCATCAGAATAAGAAAGCATTAATCAAACAATTTAATCTTTCAGCTGCTGAAGCTACTGCCATCGTTCAGCAATGTCCAACCTGTAGCAAGCAAGCACACTCAATACCACTTGGAGTAAATCCTCGTGGCTTGGAGAGCTGTCAAATTTGGCAAATGGATGTTACTCAATATCCTCCCTTTGCCCCATGGAAACATCTTCATGTTTCTATTGATACATATTCTGGCTTTATTATGGCTCCCCCCCAGAGGGGTGAGGCCACTAAACATGTTATTAATCACTGTATTCGGTCATTTGCACTGTTAGGACGCCCCAAAGAACTTAAGTCAGACAACGGACCTGCTTATATTAGCTCTGCTTTTGCAGAATTCTGTACAAAATGGTCCATTGTTCATAAATTTGGCATTCCATATAATAGCCAAGGTCAAGCCTTGGTTGAGTGAGCAAATCAAACATTAAAAACAGCTCTCAATCGATATTTAAATGAAAAGGGGAAAATCGCCCCTGGCCTCCCAGCAGTGCAAAACATCCTTAACTTGTGCCTTTATACACTAAACTTTTTAAATCTGATGGGCGATCCACCATCAACAGCTGCCTCTCGTCATTTTTCAACAGTCCCTCCCCCTACTTCAAGACCTCCAGTTTACTATCGACGGCTTCCAGACCCGACGTGGAAAGGTCCTGCAGAGCTTATCACCTGGGGGAGAGGCTACGCTGCAGTAGATGATCATGGCAAAATCATTTGGACTCCAGCTCGCTGTGTTTGCCCTTATTTGGTTCAATCTCCACCATCCTAACCAGACATCAGATGACCATGGACCCTGGGCCGACAACTCTTTTATGAAAGATGTGCAGAATATTTCTCGCCTGTTGAACAAGACTGAGTGTTGGATGTGCATGCATATTCCAACCCTGGAGGAGGGGGGACTTTTTATGCATGCGGTGCCTTTTAATACAACTGGTTGGAAACAATTTCCCTGGTCTAGAGGGACTCTTTCCAATGCTATGGTGAATTATACGGTATACACAATAGGAAGCAGAATCCAGGAAAAGGCAGCGTTTGTTGGGAATATAAGAACACTGCTAAAAACTCTGTTTTAGTAGGCAGATACCCATATTGTAACATCACATTTCAACTTTCAAACAACATGACTAGACCACATCCATTTAAGAAAATTCCTCTTTTTGAATCCCTCGATGACTTTTCTGATTATATGTGTACCTATCAAATAACTGGATGCTCGCTATCAACAGGATGTCACCCCGGCAACACAGACACGATGTCCACACTCTTCCTTTGCAGTATTGTAAGAGCCATGGCTCGCCAAACTGTGCAAAGCTCCAACACGACTACAAATATATTAAGTAATGTATGGATGCTTTGTGGCCGGCGGGCATATCAATGTATACCTCCACGGTGGTCCGGCCGTTGTACATTGGGCTTTCTTGCTCCCTCAGTTTTTGTTTCAGATCAGCCACCTTCAGGCCGTTTGCGCAATCGAAGAGATCTAGAAAATGGCCTGGGAGGACCTGGCAGTACAGGAACACAAGTTGCACGATCTATATTTCCATCTATGGGGGTAGCCATGAATTACAGAGACATCTATGCATTAAATAACTGGACTATGCACATGTTCAACGCTACCATTCAGACTACCAACTTGTTAAACAAGGAAGTGGCAGAAATACGAGAGATTGTTCTGCAAAACCGTTATGCTTTAGACATTATCCTTGCCTCGAAAGGAGGAGTATGTGCCTTAATCCATTCTCATTGTTGTGTTTATATCTCTGATTACAAAGCCAATATCACAGGTACCATTGAGCATATGGAAGACATGGTTCGTCATGATCCATTACAATCCGACGGATCTGGCGCAATAAACATTTGGGATGCCCTATGGTCTTGGCTACCTGACGGAACCTGGCTGCGATCATTGGTTTCTGGTATTATAACTATTGTGGTTATTTTAGTTTTGATATGTTGTTGTATTCCATGTTTGCCTTCGTTGTTTATGATGTTTAAAAATTTTTCCTCAGGAACTGTCACCCATCAACAGGTCAATTTAGTAACTACACCTATCACTGCAATTCAGTTACCCTTGCTAACCAAACCGGCCTTCACTTTGCCAAGCGACATTGAGGATGACTTCCTATAAAGAGCAACCTCCTTTTTTTTAATAAAACAGAAAAGTAGGAGATGTTGGAATTATTGGGTTATCTGGCCTGTTAGGCTGAGTCATCAGCTGCAGTAGGCCAAGGTATGAGGAAGTCAGAAGAAAAAAAAGATTGGCGTAAACAACGTGCCATGCGGTAATGTGTTTTGGTGTTTGTTAGTGCCGTGTGTAACAGCTGTATAGTAGCATGTGCAAAACAAAGTTAGCACGTGTAATATGCTAATATGCTGTGTCATAACAAATGTGGTTGGTGTAAGGTGGTCACCAGGTGCCTATAAACCCGCCTTCTGATAACACAATAAAAGGGATGCTTCGGCTTTGTTCGAGGCTCCCATCCCGAGGAAACCACGTGTACGTGTCTGTTCTTCAACACCCATGGGAGACCGCTGGGCGCGAGAAAACCCACAAGATGGCAATGTGATGACGCACTAACAGCTAACAATCAACTATGGTCAGTGGAAAGTAAGCTACCAGGGAAAAGTTAACTTATTTCCTCATACTAAGGCACACAGAGAAGAGGAACCTATGAATCACAGGACTTGCTCTCAGCACACTGTAGCTGCCATGATTATTATTAATTTTACAATGTTTCAAAAAATATAGTCATAGTTTGTAACACACTGGAAAGAATTGCAACTGCAATACCTAGGTCAGTGATGGTGACCCTTTTAGAGATGGAGTGCCCAAAAACCGCCCCCCCCATCCCCGTCCCTGCTCCGCCCTGCCCACTGGGCCACCCACCACCTCCACGGCCCACCACAGATCACCCAGGCAGCCCAGCACTATGGCGGCCACGCCCTCCGCCCATGCCCTGCAGCATCATCTGCGCACGATGGGGCACAAGGGCAGAGTCTTGTTTCTGCTGCCCAGCTACCATGTCCTTGGCTGCGCTGCTTCACATGGACCGTGGCCAGTGGTGACTCTTCTCGGGGGGGGGCTGCTGCGAGGGGGCCGTGGGAGCAGGCGGGGCTGGGGAGACAGTGCATGTACCCACAGAGAGGGCTCTGAGTGCCACCTCTAGCACCCGTGCCATAGGTTTGCCACCACTGACCTCGGTGAACAGATAAAATTGACCAAAAACAAGTAAAATGAAGCATCTAAAAGCAATATTCCAGGATAAGGTAGGAGAACGGGATGGGAAGGAGCTGACTTTGTAGGCATTGTGTTAAAGTTAAAGTTATCTCAGATTGTAGCTATAGTTCTATTTTGATACTTTATTAACGATTAGCAGCCTGCTCTTTTTATTCAAAGGATAGCCTTCCCTGACTTGGGCAAGGCTATTTACAAAGGGGTTGCTACTGTAGCTAATGCTGCTTCTCTCAAAAAGATGCTTCTTTCAAAAGAAAGCAATTGCTTCATAGAATAAGAAGTCCTTGGGTTACAACCCTAACTGGGGCCAGCATTTCCACTGTTATGCAAAATGGTCGTTAAAATGTGACTGGGCCGTTCAGTGACAGAAGTCCCGATTGTGGTAATTAAGTGAAAACTGTTCAGTCGTTAGGCTAAATTAACTCACATTTTTCCTTTACTGGGTGATCTGCCTCTGCTTTACCTGCCCCCACTTGATCTCTCCCTCCCATTTCTGCTCTTTTGGCTGCCCTGCACAGCATGGCGGAGATGAAGAGACTCCGTATTCCGCTGCCACCACCGTCCCCATCTGACGTTGTTATCGTCTTCACCTCCCTTTCCATTTCCTCCCTGCCCAGCCTGATCTGGAAAACGCAGCCCCTTCAACGGCCAAGGCCCTGCAAAGCCTCTCTCACTCAAATCCCAGCCAGCTCAAGGTCAATTTTGCCGCGGGGATGACGAACAGTGGCAACAGTCCCTTCCCCCAGGCAGACTTGAATCGCACGGTGCCTTTGCGGGCAGAAACTCCCTAAGACGAGTGCAGGACGTGCATCGGCACCAAAACAGGAAGCAAAAAAGTTGCAGAGGTGGAGCTACGACCAACGCGATCCCCCAAAGTCTCTGCACATGCCCCGAGGTTGCGCCGGACGCAAATCTCCTGCACTGTTCTACATTATTTATTCATACTCCACTTTTATACTTATGCTCATCGCCCCAAATCGCTACAAAACGAATTAAAACGCGTATGCCTCAAATAAGTATTTTAATACACTATGTATCCACGTGTAGAACGTCACGTTTCAAGGTAGGGAGTCGGTGGCTTTTCTGATGTTGGGTTGCACTTCCCCTTAGTCTGAGCACGCCGAGTCCGGAATCGTGGAATGGAGTCCAAATAAATTTGCAAGACCAGCGGCATCTCAGCGCTGCAGGGAAAGGCAAGACAGTGCCCACAAGTCCCATATCACACCGTCTCCTGCTCCTCCTCCTCCTCGGGGCTGTGAACCTCTGACCTCACCAGAATAGGAAGCAAGATCCGGCGCTTTTGCGCCGCCCCCGCAATTCCGCCTCCGCCCTTGTGCAGGAAGCTCCGACGGGCGTCTTCGCTGGTAGGCTCGTGCGGGAGCTGGAGCTGTCGCGGCCTGGCGATAGTGGGGTGCAAAGAATGGCGTACGAGCCGAGGGAATCGCTGCTTACCCCATCAGGAGGCGCGTGAGAAGAGGAATGGCAGGAGGAATGTTACCCCTTGGCGAATGGCTCCCGTTCCTCTTCCTGTGGAGGCTGTTGCTCTCCGCGGCTGTCGAAGGTAGTTCTCTCAAGGGCTGGGAGGTACTTTCCAAGGCGTGCAAAAATAGCTTGGGAGGGTGGCTGGAGCGGACCTGGGTGAGAGGCCAAGGTCTCTGGAGGATCTTGTGCCTTTTTATTAGGTAGATTGTTGTTGTTTTTTAACTCCCAAATGGGCCGAATTTTCCAGCATCTGAATAAGGTTGCTGTCGCTTTGCAACACTTACGAGTTCAGTTCTAATCTCAGCAGGTCGATTTCCTCAGGGCGATAAGACAAATAAATAAATAAATAAATGGTAGACTCTAAAATCAGAGTCTGTGGTCAGAGACTTCCCAGTTGTAGGGTAGAGGAAGGCTCCTCCTAAAGGCAAAGGGCGGCTGTTGGATTGAAAAATGGCGAATTTATGCAGAGGAAAGGTTACCTTTGATAAGTTTGATAAGGAGATACTGTTCTATAAAGTTCTGAATCTGCTTATTTTTTTTTAAATGGGTACTGATGTAGAGCTGCATCATCAGTTATGAATGTTGTTTTTAAACAGACATGTATGGAGCAGTGGGATGAGAACTAACTTGACCTGTAGGATTCTTGTGAATGGTAGCAAAACAGATATTTGCTTGGTGCCTTTTAATCAGTTATATTAAAAAAGAGACGGTGCTTTCAAAATAAATGAGTGATTTCAGTAAGACTACAAAAGCTGATGAATGGAGTAGGTAAAAATGAGTTGTTAGATATAGAAGTTAGTAGGTAAAAAATGAGTTGTTAGATATAGAACTTGTTATAACATGTATCATACATCTATGAATTATAATTACTTGTGTGGATGCAATATGTTTTATTGAATGTAGTTGCCAAAATAATCTGCATTAATATTTTGGGAAGAACTTCCCTCCATGGGCTCTATGCTGTCAGGCCAAATCTCCCAAAATGAAAAACAAAATAAATGTACAAAAGTCTACTGAAAAAGCATTTAAAAATCATGCAAGCAGTAAAAATCATCATGAGCATTATCAGGCATGTACAATTTATCTAAATAAAGATTTTTCATATTTTTCAATCTGTGTTCCTCAGAACCCAAAATTTTATGAGAACTTGGTGAAGTTCTGTGTAAGAGAGGAGAAACGTAACTTGAATGCTGCCAATTTACTGTCACTGGAACTTTACCTCTTTTTCATTTTTTCTGAATACTTTTTCTTTTCAACCGTGAGTTTGAGACACCCTGCTTTAAAATATGTATTATCTTAGTTCTCACAGCAAGATATTTTTAGTAAGTTTATATTTTACAAAGTATCTCTAGGCTGCTAACTTTTCATGGCAATGACTATTTATTTCTAACCCTGCCATTCTGGCAGTTAGAGAATTTCCTTGGATGTGGATTCCATCCTTCTCTTAGATCAGTAGTTCTCAACCTTTCTAATGCCGCGACCCCATAATACAGTTCCCCATGTTGTGGTGACCCCCAACCACTTATACATCACCGGGTGCCAAGGGCGTGGCCAAAGAAAAGGGGAAAAAAATGGCGGACAGCCTTGTTTGGCGACCCCCATGAAATGGTCGTTCGACCCCAAATGGGGTCCCGACCCACAGGTTGAGAACCACTGTCTTACATCTATCCTTCTACCCATACCTCCCAATGCCCTCTCTTCAGTCTATCTCCAGAATTCAAGTTGGAAAATGTGTCTGAACTTATCCTATTGTGGCAGTTCTAACACTAACTAGGACTCAATTAAATGCACTTATTTTAACCTTGGCACCCACTGTAGCTTCCTCCTGTCCCTCCCCCGTGCATGCACCTTGAGAGGGGGCTGCTCTGGGTTTCCACTTCATGAGAGGTTAAGGGAGTTGTGGATACTTTAACTTTGAAGTAAGGAGAGAATCTCTACCTTGCTTGTGTTTTTGCAAAAAAGTGGAAATTTCCCTGATAGGCTTCAAATAGGTTTGCATTTGTAATTGTTAGGAATTTTAAGAACTTTTATGTAAATTGCTTTGAATCACCAGAAATAGGAAGGCATAAAAATGTTGCAATAAGTGTTCTTAGGCTATTGGCACACTGCCAGTATACCTTAGTTATTACCCTCCAGTATATTATATCTGCATCAGTAATGGCTAATTCACCTCACTATTGGAGTGTTTTGGAGCATGGTGACTTGCGCACGTTATGTTTTTATTCCTTTTAGCATCTCTTGTTTCTTTGCCTTTTTAGAGTTTTCTCTCTCCTTACCAGCACCACAGAATTTGACAATTAAGTCATATAATTTTCAGAATGTATTGAGGTGGTCTCCAGTTAAGGGAATCAATGGTTCAGTGTTTTACAGTGTTCAGCGTTGCATGTAAGTAAACAGTTGTCAAATATAAAATATAAATTTCTATTCTTTATCACATGTTGTAATTCAAATTACACCACTAAGGAATTCTACTGTCTTTGTATTATGTTGCAGAAATTCAGACCGAACATGGGAAAAACTGAATTGTATAGATATCATGAAACCTGAATGTGAATTTGAGTCTATCAAGGATTTTTATGAAATTATTTTGCGTGTTAGAGCTGAAGAAAGCAACTTAAAATCTGAATGGACTGAATCATCTCACTTTACTGCTCTGAAAGATAGTATGTTTCATTTGTTACTTGTTATTTATTGATGACTTAAGCCTCTGACTAAATATGTTTTTTTTAATCATTTCATATGTGAAAGCGAAAACTGTAGGCTATAGTGCAGCGGTTCTCAACCTGTGGGTCGCGAACCCATTTGGGGTCGAACGACCATTTCACGGGGGTCGCCAAACAACGCGATCTGCATGCCGCGCAGGGGGCGGTGCATGGGGGCGCCGCCACACATGCGGGCCGCCTGCTTATGACCGGGGTTGCCGTATAAAAAGGTTGAGAACCACTGCTATAGAACAAAAGATAGGCCCTATACTATAAAAACAAGTCTTGAATTATCTCAGAGACGGGATTATTTATAATGGCATCAGCTTTTATAAACTAAGATCCAGAGGCATTTTATGAAATTGACTCTTTCATAAAAGCTTGTCAATGCGTTTTTGAAAAAAAGAAATGAGACTTATTTATCGTAACAATCAATAGCTATTCATAAAAGTATGCTATAAGCAGAATTGTACATTTCATTTCATAGAGGCATGTTAGTCACAATTATCTATATTCTGTATCTCTTACCCATGCTGGTACAGACAGATTCACTGATGTGCCTTTTTCAGCCCAAGAAAAAAATTCATGCGTTTCATTGGTACACTATCCTCTGTGTAAGAAAATTTAGATCTCTTCTGTAATATTATTTAAGTTTTGATTGATTCATTTGTAAGATTTATATCCTTTTTCCTTCAGAAACTCAGGGAGTCCTTTGTGGGATATACTTCTCCACTTTTCACTTTCACAATACTGAGCTTTTATGGTCAAAGATAAAATCTGGATCCAGTACTATTAGAAAGTACTAAATTCTTTCATACAAGATATGACCCAGCAGAAAATGTTATTCTTAGTTCACAAGGGCCTCCCATTTATGTTGCCTTCAGCTCCTAGATGACCAGCTGGGTTTATTCTGTTTACTCAAATAGTAGTAGCAGAAAATGCTGCAAGTAAGCATTTCTTTTTGAATGCAAATACTCTCAATCATTAAAATGAACTAACATAGTTCATGCACACATTTCTTATGCATGTTTGATTAAAATAATGGTGACTTGATGTTTGATTAAAATAATGGTGTTTGTTTATTCATTTTAGCCATTATAGGACCTCCAAGAGCAATAAATGTAACTTCAGCAGCTAATTCAATTCTTATAAGTTTCTTGCCTCCTTTTGAGAAAAGAAGTAATTTCTCTTCATTTGTCTATACAATCTATTGGGAGAATTCAAAAAATGTATCAGTAAGTACTTGTCTTTCCTTGACAAACTGATATAAGAATTATTAGGAAACATTTGAATGAATCTGTTAATTTCTTATTTATGTTTATATCATTACCCATACTGTTGCTGGTCAAAACAATTTATAATAACAATATTAAGGTTGAGTAATAAAAACAAATACATTAGATTAGGGGTCCCCAAACCCCAGGCTATGGACTGTTAGGAACCAGCCTGCACAACTGCAGGTGACTGGTGGGTGAATGAGCAAAACCAAAATCATCCTCCCCCGGTCTCTGGAAAAATTGTCTTCCATGAAACTGGTCTCTGGTGCCAAAAAGGTTGGAGCCACTGCATTAGATAATATAAAGCATTGTCATTAAAAAATGGAGAAATCATCAAACATGAGTGAAGAAAATAATCAGTAGTCCCCTAAAAAAATCTTTTGAGCAGCAGGCACCAGTTCCGTGGAGAATGGATTTTCGTGCAGCGGAGGAGGCGTGGTTTTGCGTGCTTCCTGCATGAGTTTGCATGGACCAGTTGCCGGAATGCTGTGGACCAGAGGTGGTCCACAGACCAGGGGTTGGGGACTCCTGACCTAAAAGATATAATCAGGCAGGGAAGATATGTTACAGACCCCATTAGTCAAAGAATTCTGACTGGCAGAATCTAGGAAGAGAGCCGCCTTTGCTGTTGCCCCCATACTATGGAATATACTTTCCCCGGAGATGAGCGGGCCTCCATTCTCCCGGCCTTCCGAAAAGGGTCAAAACATAACTCGGTAGCCTTGGGGGGGGGGGCAAAGGTTTGTTTAATGTTATGAGAACTCATTCTCTGTCTCCATCAACCAATTTAAATAGAGTTAAATTGCCTTCTTGGAAATTTTCTTCTTTGGGAATTTTATAATTTAACTTTAAAAAAATTTAACTAAATTAATTTTAACAGTTTAATTGTATATATTGTTTTATATGCCAATTTTGTGCTGTACACTGCCCAGAATCCCTCTTTGAGGGAGATGGGCGGTCTAGAAATACGAACTATAAATATAATAGATAATAGGGGATGCCTTAACAGGTATTAAGGAAGAAAGGCCTGCTCATGACTACCCCCCACAACCTTTGATTACATAGATTAAAAAGATGTATTTTAAATACATTAAAAAGTACTAAAATTATTCTAATGGGATTTGTTTGGACTTTTTTAAAAAATAATAATAATAGAAAATGAGATTAGCTGGTCCATGGAAAATAAATCTAGCTTCACAATTGGGTTAATTTTTTAGTAGAACCAATCCTTTTCTAAATCAGTACAATTAAACACACTAAATATAGGAGTGATTGACCATTAGGAGAAAAACAAAAAAGAAGAGTCTTAGAGTCACTGAAATTTGAGCAGTGTACACATTTGTTAATTTTAATACTTTAATGTTTAACTGGTTAGCTTTTATAGTTCTAAACTGATTTTATATGTCTTTTAATTTTTGATTGCCCACTAACATTGGTTGAAAGATGGGTGGCTATATAAATGCTTTAGATAAATAAATACATTTAATAAATAAAGATGATTATAAGAATTAGTAGGAGGCAGAGGCTGGGAGGTTTCACTTATTTATTGAATTTCTATGGCTGCTTACCTATACATGACTGACTACTTGATTCTGCATATTATTGGTCTCACATCCTTTGTAATCTGCAAACAACGTACCGAAGCTTTTCCAACTATCTACAGAATTTCTTCTTATCTAGATGGGATAATCACATTATGTTGTATAACAAGATATTTTTTTAACTTGAAATTATTTAGAGATCAGCTTTAATTCCTTGATAGAGGTCCACAAACATCTTAGAGCATGGGTGTCAAACTCGCCACGTCATGTGACGTGTTGTGATGTATGGTGACTTTTTTCGCATTACCGGAGCTGGGGTGGGCGCGCCCTCTGCATGATGCAACCGGCCCACGAGCCGGCAGTTTGACACCCCCGTCTTAGAGGTTTATACAGAGGAAAAGCTACGACAAATTCAATACATCCACATTGCTTCAAAATGTATAAAGTTTGTCCTTGGCATTATTTTAGATCTTTTTTTATTTATTTATCTGGAGTTCCTTGGCAGTCTCCTGACTATTAACCAGATCCAACCCTTATTTTTCTGAGATCAGATATGGTTGACAAGATGTCACTACTATCTGCTATGACATTAAATAGAAAACCATAGCAAATGTGTCATGGGAAGTAGAGAAAATAGAGGATATGTTACAAATGGTATAGATGGGAGAGGCAGAGCTTTGAGCACCTTTGATTTTGGAGACAACAAACATATAAATCCTTAGACTATAATTTATGATCAGTTGTACACTAAACAGTGACACTGGGCTTCCTAAATCCTAATTGCTCAGAACTAATAGTAGTTATTTTAGATATTCTGGAACATAAGCTTTCGGCAGTCACAAGAGATCTTGGAGATAGTGCTACAAAAATCATTGGTTTGGGGGTAGGTAATCTTTTCAGTGTGGGGGCCCCATAATATCTTTCTGTTCTGCCTGAGAGCTGCAAGGGGCATTGTAGCTTTAATGGGAAATTAAAGCTAAACTTTTCAGACCTACCTTTTAAATGGGCAAAGGAGTACCTAAATCTTGCAAAACAAGGTCAGTGCTCCTTAAATTCACCCCTTCCCTGTCCCAGCTAAAAATATTGGATATAATTGCAGTTCTACCCCATAACAAAAATGTTGGCTGTATCTACTGAGAGCTACCTAAAGGCCAAGAATGGGATTCTGGGGGATGCAGGTGGGCTTAGGAATTGCCTGTCCCCAGATTGAAACCAAAATATTGCAGATAAACACTTACAATAAACCTACCATGAACTAGAACATCTGTACTTCTGAAATTAATAAAGAAGGGCTGTAATTTGGATAAAGAAATTATATAATAATGTTTTAACTGCTCTTTGTTATTATACAGCTAACCATGAATACTGTATACAGACTTAAGGATCTAAAGGAAAGAACTACATATTGCTTTAGGATACAAGCAAGCCTGAATGACCTCAAAGGAGAAAAAAGTGGTATTTATTGTGCAAAAACTACAATCACTGGTATGTATTATTATTTAGCTGATATATAATTATGTAGATGCAGAATTAAAGGAATAGATTGTACCCACTGATTATTTCTTATGTTTAAATTATCTATCTACTGTGGAAACATAAACTGATGCCAAATTCTCCTCACCAACCAGGTCTTGGAAATACAAGCTATTCTAATATGGTAATAGATAAGAGATTTATTATACTTGGCCTGCCATTCAAAAACAGTGGCCAGGATTACTGTTGGTAGGAGTAACATAACCTGGCCCTAAGACAAGATCAGGAGTAGAAGTGAAGATTAGCCTCAAATATCCAATCTTCCTTATTGAGCACACATGTGGCATATCTCCTCACTTTTTCTCTGCTTCTTTGGTGAGGATCCTGTGGATCTCAGCCTTTAAATCAGGGGTCCTCAGCTTTGGCAACTTTAAGACTTGTGGACTTCAACTCCCCAAAGCTGGCTGATGAATTCTGGGAATTGAAGTCCACAAGTCTTAAAGTTGCCAAGGTTGAGGACCCCTGCTTTAAAGAATAATATTATCAGAGACCCTTCTCTATGTCAGCCCTACTCCTATGGAATAGCATCTCTGTAAAGGTAAGATAGTCCTTATTGCTGCTGTTCCATAAAGTGATTAAGGCCTGGCTCGTCTGCAAGATAGGTGAATATTGTGTCACTTCTGAAGAGGAAGTACCTGATTTTTCTTGTATCAACAGGAGTATGCAGTTATGGTTATGATTTTACTGTTTTGCCATTTGTGGCTTGATTACTGAGATTTAAATAGTGCTTGAAAGTTGTTCTGTAATAAAGAGTTTAAGCCAAAGGCTTTTTTAATTGAAATATTATATAAATCTTAATATAAATTAAAGATTATACTTGAGATTATAACAGTAATGAACAATACATTATTGCTTTCAGTATGAAGTACACTTAAATTCAAACAGAAAACTGATCTTGGTATCTCAAATGCCCATATAGTACTGTACCCTATTTTGTCCTTTAGTCCTATCCCTTCTTTCCTTCAGTTTCTTGAGGTTTAAATTTTTGTTCGTGAATTCTGTAGAAGTCAAGTTCAAGTCTTTCCCATGAAAAAGTCTGTAATACATAGGATTAAGATGAAAAACTATGATTTTTAAAAAGTGTACTGAATTTGACAGTATTCCTCTATCTATATAACAGTGGTGGCGAACCTATGGCATGGGTGCCAGAGGCGGCACTCAGAGCCCTTTCTGTGGGCACACGTGCTGTTGCCCCAGTCCCAGGCCTTCAGGTGGGTTTTATAAAACCTTTTTGCTTTAGGCCTCCGCTGCCATGTGCAAAAAAAAAAAAAGGTTCAATCAATTTCAACTTCTTGTGGGGAAAAAAAAGTTCTTGCAAAGTTGGAATTGATTGATTGAACTTTTTAGTCCCACCCAATCTGCCATTACCACCGCAGCCACGCCCACCCAATTGCCATGCCCACCCATTGGGCCACACCCACCCATTGGGCCACACCCACCCGGCACTCGACGATGCGTAAGTGGGTTTTGGGTTGCAGTTTGGGCACTCAGTCTCTAAAAGGTTTGCCATCATTGCTATATAATGTTCGCATTTGCCGATGATTTCACTGGGATTGTTCCTAAACCTAATTAAAAAAAGGAAAAGTAATGAGACACGTTTCACTGTTCGAGAAGGAATTACTTCTCCTATGTCTCAAATATAAGATGACACGTGTGCAATAATATATGGCTTTCTTCCCATTTAATTATGTAATCACCAACCAATTTCTTGTCAACAATACATATATCTCAAAAATGTTCAGGAACCCACATTCAGTTTTGTCCTAATAGCTTTTTTCTGCCCCTATGTCCTATATATTTTTGTCCAGCTATATTAACACTTCACTTCCTGCACAGAAACATCATTAGTAGACAGATAGTAACAGTACAATTTTTCTGACTTTTCATTGCAGTGTATTACTGTATTGTAATCCAAGATAGCTGATAAATTATTTCATGTACATTTCTGCCATTTTGCAGTAAATGTGTCTTTCAATGTATTTATGTCAATGTTCCTTTCTCTTTCAGAGGGAACAAGAATTCTCTATTGCATATTGATATTTGGATCTGTGTTTTTAATACTACCTTTAGTATTTTTGCTATTAATGGTTATTCGGAAGTATCCAGATATAATTAAGTCCTTTTGGCAACCTCCTCTAACAATACCATCACACTATGAAGAGGTATGTATTTCTGCTGACTTGCAATAATGTCTGATTGTAGTAGGCTTATCTGGAATTCACTTACATAGAACTATACCTTGGAGGTTAGACACATTTCCATCCTTTATTCCATAGCAAATCGGATATAGCTGGACTTGAGACATATTAATGTGAGAAGATGGGTCCTTTTCTTGTGACTTAACATTGCAGCTTGTTTTAGCCATTCTACAGCACACATCCATGCAGTTTTGCATCCTACCCCACACGTTATGTTTGCTGTGATTGTGATCTGAAAATAAAGGTGCAGGTGAAAAACGAAGTACACCATTAATTGAACATTTTCATTAAACCTTGATTTTCAATCATGGATTAAACAGAAATCGGGTTTGGTCACAAATATGACTGGTGTTAGTGAGGCTGGAACATTTAGGGGGAACTTGCACTCCAGAAAGCAGGAGATGAATTTGCCAAAACTGCTGTGCTTAAATTTTGTTTCATGTAACAGTTGTATTGGGTTTGTCCACTTGAAACAATTTAATGAGGATACTGAGACTTTTGCATATAACTGTTGATTATAATTCTAGACCTTCTGTACAGTATTTGACTCGTTCTTGATTTTTTTTGTGGAAACATTGTTAGATGGAAGTTGCTTAAATGTTCAGTCAGCTTGTATTTTTCAGTAAATGGGAAACTAATCAAATGTAAGGGTACAGTAATTGCAATCTGGATTTAGTCTTGAAAATTTTTTCGGGTATATTATTTATTTTGCAAGTCCTTCTGTGCCTCAAATGTCATTATAGTGCTTACATAGTAAATTACTGTAGTGAATATTTGGTCAAAGTTAATTGTATTTATGTAGCTCAGCCCTATAGTTAATTTATAGACAAGCATAAGATACCTGAGAATCTAAAAATTAGATTCCAGCAGTGTGTGTGTGTGTGTATGAATTGTAATTAATACAAAAATGGTAAAAACTATATTGAAATAGACTAGACATATGAGTCAATAAAAGTGAATGTATTTATTTAAATCTCATTTTAAAAAAAGTTTCAAAATAATTGTTCAAAATGATTGTTAAGTAGAGGACTACCTGTTTTTGATTTTCTTTTCTTCTGTTCAGTTGTGTCCAATGTTTGGCAAGATTTTTTTAAAATGGTTTGTGATTGCTTCCTTCCAAGGATTGAGAATGAGTGACTGGCCCAAGGTCAACCAGCTGGCTTTGTGCCTAAAGTAGGACTAGAACTCAAGCTCTCTACATCAAATTGGCTCTTCTGTTTAAAGAATACCAAACTTTTTTAAATGGTAGAGCAATGTTTCTCAACCTTGACAATTTTAAGGCATGTGGACTTCAACTCCCAGAATTCCACAGCCAGCAATGCTGGCTATGGAATTCTGGGAGTTGAAGTCCACATGCCTTAAAATTGTCAAGGTTGAGAAACACTGTGGTAGAGATAACTATCATATTAAAGGAAGTCTTTGATTCTCCCAATGAAAAAAAAAACCCTGCACAGCTATTTTAGTTTGGCGACTTTATTCTTGCCAAAAATATTTCAAATGATAAGACTAGAAAAGAAATAAAACTGAGTCTGATTCCCTTCCTTGATATGACATGCAAAGCCACTTAGTATATAGCCCTTACACCTAGAGAGGTTGCAGATCCCTGGCATAAATCAGTGTTTAATATGCTTGCAGCCTTTTGGTATAATCCAGCATGGTTAAAATTAAGAGTTTAACAACAATCTGAATCACGAGGAGCATAAAACATCTTTCTTCACCCCGTAGTAGTGCCCGACTATGTGCCCTCATCTTTCATTCTTGCAAATAGGCACCATTTCTATGAACAAAAATATTAAAGTTTGGCACATCCGAGATGATAAAATGTTTAAAAATTCAATTTAGTGTAACTGAACTCTCGAAATATAAAATTGGACAGAATAACAAGACCCCATTTCAGTTATAAATCTGTATGAATGTAGATAGGCTACATTTATATGAAACAGATAAAACTCCCTGACTTCAATAGAATTTCCCTCAAAGAAAATATTATGAATTACTTTTTTGTTGACTATTTTCCATTTCAATGTTATCATAGCAAATATGAATATATATGTTTATTGGTTTCTAACAATCTAATGCTTTTTTTCAGGACCTAAATGACTCCCAAATGATTACAACTGAAGAATTTCAGAGTGCTGCTGGGGAAGATCCTTGGGACATTATTTCAATTACTTCCAAAGCAGAAGATGATAAGATTCTGACAAGTTTTGCCAGTGAACACAGTTGATAGACAATATGATGAAAAATATTTTATATCATTTACACCTTATTAATTACCATCAAGTTGTTTTAGCTGCTTAAAACATCCAGTTTCTAAGGAAGTTCCACTCATTCGTCTGTGTAGCAATGTGAATTAAGAAACTGATTTTCATAGCACGTTTATTCATTTGGAAGAAAGTCCTAATATTTCAGTAGGTTTAGCCTGAATAAATGCGTTCAGAATTTCAGTGTGAATGTTAGAACACAAATCCTATTGCCTCATACATATATATATTTTTAATGATTAAAGAGTTTTGTTTTTCCCTGGGCAATATTGTGCAATGATAGTTTACACCAGCATTACCTAATTAAAACTTTTTGCAATAGATCACGGGTATCAAACTCGCCACGTCATGTGATGCGACGTATCGCAACTCTTTGCATTGCCGGCAATGGGGTGGGCATGGCTTCGATATGATGAAACCGGCCCGTGGGCTGGCAGTTTGACACCCCTGCAATAAATTAAGATGAGAAGTTGGTTTGATATGAAATTTAACTGGTGAAATCATTTGAAACTTCAGTGCTGTTAAATACAGACAGCACGTTTGACCTGATTTTAATTTATAGGCTTGATGTTTACATTTTTAAACTTCTTAATTTGAAACCATCTTCAGAATATAAATTGAATACTATTGACTGCAGCTGATGAATAATGTGTTTCAAATAAGTTTGTGCTTTTCTTGAACAGAACGGAATCAGAAGAACTTCCCTGCATGATGGACTAAAGGTTCTTCTACTAGTTACGTCTGGTGGATCAGCTGCATCCTGTTTATTAATTAAGATCTTGCTTCCAATATTAATGGAACAGCAACAACTTAAATTATTGTAATTTCCTGGAACTTGGGCTATGTGAATATTTCACTTATTTTAACAGACCAGACTATGGTCTAGTTGTATTTTTTGTTTTTAAAAAATTCAATTAGACTGGCTACTAGCAGCATTTGAATATCTCCATGCTCTTCTTGCTGGTAGGCATGAGCTTTAAATGGTAGAGGACAGGAAGACCTGGAGGAATGTTGCCCATGGGGTCGCGATGGGTCAAACATGACTTCACAATTAACAATATATAGAATTCCAGGCAATTGTTTAAGCATTGAGATTACTCAGAATTGCAACAGGCTGAGTTCCCACATTTCTCTCTTTTCCTTAATCACTACAGATTGTCCCTTCCTTGGATTTTCTTCATCATGCCAAGATTTGAAGTGTTCGAGCTTGCCATGTCACCCATTTAATTACTGATTTAAATAGTCCTTCACTGCATAATTTTTATGGTACTTGTATGTTCTGTTCAGTTCTTAGGCATTTTTATACTGTTTTTGTACTGAATTTGTGATGCATATATACTTTATATCAATTTCTATCAGAGAAACTAAATGCTTTGTTTTATAAATCCTAGAAAATACTGGGAAGAAGGAACTGACTACAGCTAGTCCTCGACTTATGACAATTAAGATCAAAATTTTTGTTGCTAAGTGAAACATTTAAGTGAATGTTGCCTCATTTTACAACCTTTTGTGCCACAACTGTTAAATGAATCATTGCAGTTAAGTTAGTAACATGGTTGTTAAGTGAATCTGGCTTTCCCATCGACTTTGCTTGTCAGAATGTCACAAAAAGTGATCACATAACCCTGGCACACTGCAACCATCATAAATACAAGTCAGTTGCTTAATTGCTAAGCACCTGATTTTTGACCACATGACTGGATATTGCAATGGTCATAAGTGTGTAAAAAGGTCATAAATCACTTTTCAGTGCCACTGTAACTTTGAATGGTCACTCAGTGAACTGCTGTGAGTTGAGGACCACCTGTATATGCTGCTATTTGATTGTAGTAAGAATTCAATTTTAATTAGACACTCGGCCTAAAATTTAATGGTACTACATGCTGTTTAAGGATTAAAATTGCTTGAAATTCCTTATAACTTGGAAAAGTTTGTCTTTGCTTTCCTCCTGGTAATGTATATATGTCTTTATTGGAGGAATCATACAATCAGAAATGCAGAACATGAATTAAAACTCTGGCTGATTAGTGGGTATTATAGGTTTCCCATCTTACCTTTTAAGTTCTAAGGCTGAACATTCCAAATATCCAGTGTCCAGTATCCTGAAACCAGGGACCTCTGTGTTAAGCCAAACTAAACTCTTAAAATGCTTGTGTCAAGCATCATACAAAAAATGAGTAGTGCTGATATTGAACTCAGCCAATGATTGGCAATTACTCTTTATCTCGTTGATGGAAAATGCTAATAGAAAGCAATTTTAACAAGTTAATTTTTTGTTTGTGTGCCAAAATATGAGTAAATAACAATCTCTTTTTGAATGTAACAGACTTGTGGCTGGAATTAACAGTAGTATGTTATACAATTTTTGAAAATATTTGCATTTAGCACTTAGACTTATATACCGCTTCATAGTGCTTTACAGCCCTCTAAGCAGTTTACAGAGTCAGCATATTGCCCCCAACAATCTGGGTCCTCACCTCAGAAGAATGGAAGGCTGAGGCAACCTTGAGCCTGCAATACTGCATTTTAATCACTGCGCCACCACAGTTCTCATTTAATGGCTTAGAAGAGGCTAGTTCTACTCATGACCTGTTCAAGGCATGCTAGAAGAAATTGTTTACAAAAGTCCAGGCAATACCTCAGATGTCTTTGTATCATGGTATCAATACCATGATGTGCCCATCAAACATAATACTTAAAAAATCCCAGACACAGATTATTTATAACATTTAGCTCTTCGTGATATATACTGCTACAGCTGTGCAGGTGTTTGAAATAGGTGGTTTATAAAGTATTAGCTCAAAAGCACACTTCTATTAAGTCCCAATGCAGCAAATCTTTGTGAGATTTGCACACTGCTTTATTCCGATTTTATGTGCACAGACAATACTGCCACTTCCAGCGGCGATTTGACTATGCATGGACATGCATGAGGACACAGCCAGTGATGGCTTTTAAGCACTTGCACAAGCCATGCAAAGGATATAGCTGCTTTATTGCTTTAGGGCAGGGGTGTCAAACTGCCGACCCACAGGCCGGACACATCACGCCCACCCCATTGCCGGTAATGGCAAAACTGTCCTGATACGTTGCGCGACGTCACATGATGTTGCAAGTTTGACATGTCTGCTTTAGGCTGAGGTACTTTGTGCTTTTTCATTTTGCACATTTTTTGAGTGCCTCGCCATAACCATTATCATCATCCCTCTTCTTTCACTTTATTTTCTGAAGTTCATAGCTAGGTTTCTTTCTCTCTCAAATTGTCAGGCAGCGTGTCTGACAATCACCAAGGAGAAAACCCATGGGCAGTGTACTAGAGACCCCATTTCTGCTGTAATTGTACCTTTTGATAATATGCAGGTAAGATAAAGAAGCACTGCTGTGGGATCCTCATAAAATCATGCTAATATATAAAACAAACCATTTTTATATTGCTGATTATTTGACTTTAATGTATTTACAATAAACAAAATAGTTTAATCTTTCTAATATGGTCTGCTCTAAGAAAGAAGAAACAGGACAACTCTTAGCATGTCAAGTTTGCTTCATAGTCTGTCCTTTGAGAGGGCTAAGAAAGTCCTTAAGAAATAACTACCTGGCCAAGTTTATTTTCTAGCTATGGGAAAAGTCAAAGGCATGCAAGATAGGAAACCTGGAATATCTGCTTCAGTAAGACCTTCTATAGTCGGACTGTAGAGCAACTTGAGTATTCATAATTTAACAAAATCTTTAAATTATATATAGAGAGCATGCCATAATTTTCAGTATACAGGTTAACATGTCACTGCTTTGCATACATGTTCATTTATATAAATTAAATATCTATATTTTTTTTGAAAAAAATTAAGATGATAGTCTTGCCATGTAATAAAAATATATACTCTCTCCACTGATCCTTTTCGTTTGGAATCTAGATCATCTCTAAAGATACAGAGAAATTATCCTAATAAAGTAAACAATAAAATAGTTCCTGAATTTTTTTTAAACATAAAACTTCCCTTACTCAGCATATTGCGTAAACATATAAAATACACAGCAATTCTGCATTAAAATAATTGCAATCTCTATTTATAAATAATATATGAACAGAATCTTAAGTGATATTATAAAAAATATTTAACAGAATGCCTGAATACTGTAAAATTTCATATAGATTTTTGTTACAATGTCAAATCTATCAGCACTTTTAGGGACCATCCCATTTTAAGGCATGATGTGCTAAAAAAGAAAGCTCTTAGCGCATTTGCAGTATCATATGCTATTCACAAACTTTTAAAATTACAATTATATGAATAACATATAATGTTATATAATATATAATGTTATATAATAATAACATATAATGAATGTGTTTGTTTACACAATCATTTTTTTAAAATTGAAGCTTAAAGAGGTGTAGTCATGCATTACCATATAATGATGGAATCTTGCAGATAACTATTCATGATAAATTTCAGTTTCTCACTTTTCCATCACTACATCTTTGCCTCTTGGCTGATGCCATTTGAAAAGGTACTTGTAGACTTATTTGTGCTTAAGAGCAGTAGATGCTCTTGAAAAACCTATATATTTATAATATTCCCTACAAAATAATGCCAGCTGCAATAAAAATGGAAGAGTTAGGTCATAGGTTACAGATAACCATAATATATACATATGAACAAATTTGTTCTACTAAAAATTTGGAACAAAATCCTAAAATCAGTTCACTTTAAAAAAAAAAGTAAGCATACAAAATTTATAATTCAATAAGTTTGGCAAAATAAAAACAAAATGTAAATTATATTATTTACATAAAAAGTTGCTATGCAGGATGAAGAAAAACAGATTCTTAGGCCCACAATTCTTCTGTTCTTCCAAATTTGTAGATAAGGGTACTACAAAAACAGAAATTTAGACCTGTAAGTCAAACATTGTTTTGTTCTTCAGTAAAAGGGCACAGTAAAAACTAGCATATATTTCAATTGTTCCATCACTAGTTTTAAACGAAAAAGCATATGTGCTTGAATATGGCAATAATGGATTTAATTCCAATATAATCCAGTATCCAGTGCTTTAGTGATATGATCTTTTTAAACAGCATTTTTTAAAAAGTGGAAGTTGAAGTAGCATATCAACGAAGCCTTATTAACTGAACTAGTTAAATTGTCAGTATTTATTTTTCCCTCTAACAGAACGCATTATCATTTCCATAAAAAAAACAAGAGATCAGTACTGGATAAGTTAATGTACGCTTTAAGATTCAAAGGAACTCAACAAAGTGAAGAAACTGAAAGCACACTGAAGTGAGGGATAAATAGCCTTTTGCCTGTTTATTGCTTAAATATTGAAAAGAAAGTAGCTTTTAAAATTGCTAAAATATATTAAACACTGTGTAAACATACTGCTTCTATCACTTAAAATCCAAAAACTGGGGGGGGGGAGAATAAAAAAGGGAAGATAAAGTCAACAAATCCAAAGGGCTATTCTTAAGATGTATATAGATTTCAGTTGTGTGTTTTAATGAAGAATTGCTTAAATGAAAACAGTTCAGTGGGAGAAAAGGTAAATAATATTTGATCTCTCAGCTTTATTGGTGAAATTGTGCCTAATCACATTTACTTCTGACCTCGGTTGTATTGAACAGGTGTGGCATTATTAGAAGATATTTCAAAACAGGGGGCCTTAGAAGTACCCATCAAAGGTATTGTGTAATTTTTCTATCTTGAGAAGAGAGGGTTGTTATGAATAAAGAAATGTTTAAAACAGTAATAACCTTGTGAATAGTCTCTTTCTATATGTACCTGCATATGCAAACAAGGCTGTGCAAATCTTTAACTGTGATAGTAAAAGTACTAGTCACAAGTTTGATAAGATACAGTACTATCTATACAGCCTCCCTTAATGAGCAAAGGCTAGTGGAATAAATCCTGAAGACAAAGGAAAAGAGAACATGTACTGTTCCTTCTGATTTCATCTTGAGAACTACTTGATATAAAAAACTGGGGCCTAGAAGACAGTTGGGCAAACCATGAATCTTCAGGGACACAAGTTGAAGGAGACTTTTATCACAGAACTGAACATATATACATCCTTTGATCAAGGCAGCTTGCTTTGAATGTCTGACTAAAACAGTTCTCCAGATGTTTGTTCAGTCATAGAAGAGACAAGGAAAGGTATTCTACTATGAGGTGGTAATTTTGATTTTGAAAATCTAAATGGCAATATTGAAATTATAAATGGCTTTATTACCTAGCCTATCAAATGATAGTAGCAGGAAATCTGATGCCTTGCAAACACAAGAGTAGCATAGCATATGCTCTTTTTTAATTATTTGCTTAGAAATTTCCTATTTTATTGTTAGGTTTAATATTTACTTAACTTCTAATTTTGATATACAGTGATGGAGAATGAATATTAACACCCATTCTGGTGTCTGAATTACCCATTTTAAAATATTAACTTTAACTTATTCAACTCTTTAGGCATTGGTACTTACCTAAAAAATATCAAAGCATTTTGAAAAAACACAGCTAATCCCGGGTATACATTAATATCTAAAAATACAAATGCCAAAATGTATTTTTACTTTGATATAAGGAAGAAAGTAAAAGTTACTACATTCCACTATAAAATGCAAAGATTTAATTCAAAAGATTATACAAGCTGAATCTGACCTGGGAATGGAGTCCTTCACACAACCTAGCACACCATCTTAAAATTCTGAATCACTACTCAGTTTGAAGTTAATCTACTGCTAGGACATGGAGAGGCTTTTTAATTCATACCTACATATCTGAATTTCAAAAATTATTACTCAGCTTATTTAAACACCCAATTATATGACACATCTATAATCATTAGGCTAATATGTGAAACAATGGTCTTTTCCAGCTTTCTGAGATTATCTTTAAGTCTTTAAATCTAAGAATTCTCTGTAATACTTTACAGGTAAAAATAATTTAAGAGTTGGCACAACTTAACAGCCAGCTGAAATGACAGTCTGTCCTCTTATACGTTGTACTTACACAATATGCTTCTGTATTATTAGTATAATCACAATCTAATTTTCTGGATTCACACAATATGTTGAATTGTGAACTAGTCAGACTGAATTCAATTAGCACAATAGGCAAAAATAACATTAGCTAGTTTGTGATCAGTATGTTTGTGAAAACAGAATTGCAATTTATTCTTGCTATACAGGAAATGAAGAATATGCCTTGACTTCTTATAATGAAGTTCGTTTCTACTTGATAAACTGATGTGTTCATGATAAAACCACTAAATTAGTTAAGCAAAAGTGTTGTTGATTTAACATTCAAAGCATCCACAGAAGATAGTTTGGATTCAAAACAAAAAAGCTGGTTTGAAGTACATGGAGATGTTAAGCATACCATCCCTCTGCATCTTTTTCCAAGATACTGTGGCTGCATTTGACACGTGTAGTGCAGTTCCAGTGCTAGACAGTGCTAATATTTACACTCCTGAGCTGAGTACTCTATAATAAATTTTTATCAGATTTTTATCCCGCATTTATTACCTTATAAGTAACTCAAGGCAGTGAACATATATAATACTCCTTTCTCCTATTTTTCTCACAGCAACCAGACTGCCATCACACAGACTGATCTGAGAGTGTATAACTGGCCCAAAGTCAGCCAGCTTTCATTCCTAAGGCGGGACTAGAACTCCTGGGTTCTAAACCAGCACTTTAAGCATTACACCAACTGGCTCTGTCAAACTTCATTTAAGGTTAGATCAGCAAAAATGGCTTTACTTTCTCCAATTCTCTGTACAGGTAGTCCTTGACTGACAACAGATCATTTAGTGATTGAGATTACAACGGCACTGAAAAAGTGACTTATGACCACTTTTCATACTTATTTATCACTGCTGCAGAATCCCTGTAGTCACATGATCAAAATTTAGATGCTTGGCAACTGACACACATTTATGATGGTTGCAGTGTGCTGGGATCATGTAGCTCACCTTTTGCCACCTTCTGACAAGCAAAGTCAGTGGGAAAGCCAGAGTTACTTAACAACCGTGCTACTAACTTAACAACCACAGTGATTCACTTAACAATTGTGGCAAGGAAGGTTATAAAATGGAGCAAAATTCATTTAACTGTCTCACTTAGCAACAGAAATGTTGGGCTTAATTGTGGTCATAAGGTGAGGACTACCTGTACAGAATTTTGTTTGCCGAGGCATTGCTATCAAACTGTTGCCCAGAATCATGAGATAAGCAGCTATATAAATGTGATGAATACATAAACTGAAGTACTTTTATTCTTACACAGCCCTATTCAGAACGATTAAGGGAATATTTCCTGCATTTTTAAAGTCTGAACTATACATCTTCAAGAAAACATATACCAACCAAAACTACTTTCCTAATTCAAATCATTTTTTTTTTATTTTTCAAACATGGAACAATAATATGTACTATATGAACTGGGGAATTTATTCAAATATTCTGAAATTATTTTTAAGCTATATTCTAATCATCCATTTCCTTTTATTTTTATATTGTACTTTCATGTTCTGTCCTATCCTGTACTATATTCTATATTGGATATTTTTAACAATAAAGCAGCCTGAATATTTTCTACTCATGTTAAATACTTTCAAAATATATAATTAATATGCATTTGATTGATTTAAAACACTAGTTATTTAATGATTTAAAAACATATTCAGTGTATTTTTCCTCCCCTTATTAAAAAATAGGAAGAAAGGACTCTTACTTTGGGTAACATATGCTCCAAAAAGGATCCATATAGAAGCAATAAGTGAGGCAAACATCAACATGAAGCCAATGAAGAGCCAGACACGAGCACCTAAAACAAGATTTACATTCCTTGGATCACTTTACTTTTATGTGTTAAAGATTTCAGTGATTAAAAAGGGCACATTATCAAAAATTATACTATTTTCAAATGCCAGATCAATAGCTCTGATAAATTCAAAGAAATTAAAGTACAAGTTAACCAGATAAATGTTATCTTAAAACATTTGATATAAATAATTAAGTAACATTGAGCAACTGAGCAATACAGATTAATTTAAAGAGATCTATTTTGGTAACGCCCCCCCTCCCCTAACCTTCACAATGAAATTCATAAGATAATTTTGGGAGCGTTGTTCAAGTAATTCCTGCAAAGATACAATGGAATTAAACTTTAAACATACACTGCCCAATGTTCATTAATAAAACTGTGATAAAGGAAGAATCTTTCCCGAAATATCAAAGAAGTTTTTACCCCTTCCTTTGTTCAGCCTGAAAATTTAACACTTTTTAAAGCAGTAATACCACTTTTACAAAGCAACATTACCAGTGTTTTACCTCAAAAGCAGGAAGTAACTCATTTGTAACTATCTCTTTCTTTTGCCTTGTAGTATAAAATTAGGATAGAAAGTTTTGGTGTGCTGCATCTTCTCCTGAACACCAAGATTTTAGATAAGGATTCTTGTAAACAAGAGTGCACTCACCTGTTCTTCCTAAGCATCCATCACCATAATTGTCACCTCTTACTTGAGCATTTGATACAGCGTTTATCCTGCAACATATTCACAAACAAATATTAAAAATAGAAAAAAAGCAGAAATAAAATCCATTTGATTACATTTCCACTCTGTAATTCATTTTAGTTTTCTTTCCTTTGAATCTAAAGGAGTTAATGCAGAAAAGATATGAAATCCAAAATATTACAGCTCAATAACCAATGTTTAAAACATGAATAATAAATTTAATGCATTTTCTTGTTCATTTTTCTGTAATTATTGGTATGTGTCTGATACTTGACGAAGTCTACGCACCATTATTTGATGTGGTTTAGGACAGGGGTCCCCAACTTCTGAGCCATGGCCCACTACCGGGCCGTGGCATATTTGCAATGGGGCTGCGTCAGCGGTGGGCTGGTGAGAGAGTGCATGTGTACGTGCTGGCCCATCACTTGCGCGAGTCAAGTTTGTACTTAGGCACATTGACCTGCCACTAACGTGGCCCAATTCCTCTGCCCCCCAGCCAGGCCACCAAGCCACAAAAGTTGCGGACTGCTGGTTTAGAAGAAGGAATGGCAGTTGTTGTTGTGGGGAAAATAGGAGGAAGGAAGTATGTTGGATATGTAGCCACCTTGAGTTATTTGTAAAAATATAAAGGTGGAATATAAACAAACAAACAAAAGCCCATGGAGTAGGAATGGTGGTTTGAAGATTGTATGAAAATCTTTAATACAAACAAAAACCTTTATTTTTAAACTGAATTTGTTTTAAAACATACTTGCATACAGGTAGACCTCGACTTATAAATGTAATGGAACCCAGCCATTATGGTGGTAAGTCGTGACAGTTTTAAAGCAGTCATCACATATCCAACCAGATTTTAAACCTTTTTTGTGACAGTTCATAAGTGAATCACCATGGTCAGTTAAGTGAATCTGTGGTCATTAGGCAAATTCATTGTTTGCTATGGAGCATTTTTGCCAAAAACCAGAAGTAAATGCTGCTTTTCAGCAAAAACGTAAATCAGTTGTATGACTGTAGGATGCTGCAAATGGTTTGAGATACCGGCAGTGCTATGCAACCAAAATCTGGTCCCATGACCAGGACAGCAGCCGTTGGAACTTCAGAACCAAGTTGTAAGTACCTTTTGGGGGTCCATCGTAACATGAAGAATATTAAACAAATTGGAAATTTAAAACATTCCCCTAAAAATGTATTTTGCTTTTTCTAACAGCCAACAATAATTCAAAAAATAAATGAAGCATAGAGAACAGATATATCCACACACATACATACACAGACACATATAAATCTCACTTGATGCAAATAGGAGTACATTTTATTCTGGACAAGATTTGGAAATGGAATTGCTATGGCAATTTTTTAGTATTTTTAGTCTGGTCAATAACCTTGGGATTTCCTAGTGGTGTCGCATCCAACCTAACTCTAACTAATCAAATCCAGGTAAGCTTTTTCAACATCAGCCGATGTAATCAAGGTGCTGTCCCCTGCTATAATTTTATATTGACTTACATGAAAAAAGCTAGGGTGGAAAATACTCCACAAGTGTGAAATGCGTGGTTCATTTGTTCTGGCTTAGGATAAGCTACTGCAGCATCTATCATTATCCACCAGCCTGTAAAAAACTGTAAAAATATGATCAATCAATTAATTCAAAAACAATTTTAAAATGGTGATACATATATCTTTATTCCTAATATCATCACTCCTTTGTTAAGCACCATAATTACCGGTATATAAGCACCAGTCATTCAATTCTATAACTGAAACTAAGCTTCTAAGCAAAATAGTCACAAGTTATTCATTTTCAGTGACATTCAGACAATGATATGTTGGAAATATATGTAGTCTTCTATTTACAACAATTGAGCCCAACATTTCTGTGGCTAAGTGAATTTGTTAAGTGAATTCTGCCCCATTTTACAACTTTTCTTGCCACAGTTAAGTGAATCACTGCAGTTATTAAGTTAGTAACACCGTTTTTAAGTGAAACTAGCTTCCCCATTGACTGCTTATAAAAAGGTTGCAAAAGGTGATCACATGACCCTGGGCACACTACAACAGTCATAAATATGAGTCAGTTGCCAAGCATCCAAATTTTGATCATAAGTCACTTTTTCAGTGTTTTTGAAACACACCACTGTAAAACTGAGCCAAACAGACTCCATGACTAGGAAAGAAGGATTGCTTAACCTTCCACATGAATGGTCATTCTTTCTAAGCAGCTTAACTTTAGATTGCATTTCTGTAAAATACACAAAGCAATGCAGAATAGAAACATAAAAATAGCATATCATAATAAAGGAGAATATCTGTACTTAAATTAAATTCTACTATTCTACTAATTGCTAATAGTAGCATAAAATCACACTCATAAAAAGGCACATCAGATTAGTCTTTTGTGATTTGAAACTTTACATTCTTAACTCATTTACTGTGATACAGTACGTTCTCCAGTTCAATGACTGACTGAATGGGGGGGGCAATCACTAGAAAAATAGTTATTAATACTGGAATATTTATAAAGTCTGTCTGGAACAATATCAAATAGCCATCAATAAAAATATATCCATATAGCATGTGATCTTTCAGTACTCTGTTGGATTGTGAGAAAGAGGTGTTTCTAGTTTGCACAAGAACATAAACATTTCCAAATTTTGCAATCTATACCACTTTCAAGGTATGCAAAGCATATTTTCCTGGCCAATAAATAAATATTACTGTGACTACTTTTCAAATAGATATGACTGTGTTAGTTGGGGTTTGTTCAAAGCTCAGGATACTTAAAAAGTGCTTATGATCCATTGTAAGTATTTTTATTCCAGAAACTTTATAAGAACATACTTCAGAACACTGTTATCTATCCCTATCTATCCCTAATACGCACAATATTTGTAGAAATATGTGGAAAACTGCAGTGTATAAGAGAAATACATACATACATATATAAAGTGAGATTTTACTGAGAAGTAGGAAGCTTTGTAAAATAACATTTTTTCTAGTTTTTATTTATGTTAACCTAGATAACAAGAAATAATTCTTAAAATACAAGAGATATAATGCAAGTCATTTATAGATGACTGGTCTTTCCAGTTTCTAACCTCTGACTTACAGATAGTTGAGACTGACCTGGACTACTTAATATGACTTACAAATAAATTTTGGATATCAAAATATTATAAGCATCAACATGTTTACCCATTTGCAAGTCTACAAAGTTCACAAAGAACCAGTAGCTAGTTACCACTTCTCTTTCCAATTCCTTGCCAATGGATACTGTACCATTGACACAATAATTCATCAGTTCTCATATTGGTGAGGACCGTCCTAAGGCATCATCATTAGCAAGGGGTCAACTTGCTTCATTATTAGAACTGAGTATCATCCATAATTTTTGTAAAATGTTACAGATATAAGATTACGGGGTCTCTAGTAATCCAAAAACAAAATGAATTTAAGTTTTTTCTTTTTTCTTTTATATACAAAAAGGAAAATAAGAAAACCCCACAAATATATGTAACACTTAGTAATCAAAACTAATCTTATATTTATGTATTATACAGTATCATTGTCATGTCATGCTACATAACTGATTAAAATTATTTCAAATTAGTTGGATGTGACAAGTCCTTACAGAATTTAGATATAGGTCATATTACTAGGACTTAAAATCAGCCATAAATAGTGTCATATGACTTACCAAGACCCCAGCCACCACAGAAGCAACTGTATTTCTTCTTTCACCCCAATCTATACATTCACATTCAGGCCAACGGAAATTGTCTAGGAAGCCTGCCATTTTGCAAGTTCAGTTGGACTTCTTTACACTTAATTTTTGTAAGTTCCCACCCCTAAACAAAAGATTAGAAAGAACACCAAACTGAAAATAAATGCAGTTACTTTTATGTAAATAGCCTGGATCATATAAAAAAGTTGTTTCAAGGAACTCAATTATACTTTAGTTCTGTGGCACTAGATCCTAATATCCTTAAGAATGTTTATTGCGTATTTCTCAGTATTTTGCAATATTGACTTTTGAAGGGGAACATTAATAGTGGCTTGCTCAAAGCCTTTGAACAAACTTAGGAGAGATATTTAAATAAGAACTTTCTGGCTCATAATTTAGTTAAATGAGCAGAAACCAAACCAAATGCTCAATTACAGCCTTTTGAGGGGGGCAGCCTACCTATTATACAGGGAATTAAAACATCAAAATCAACATTTAGACCTTTATACAATAAAGTACCTTGGAGCAGTGGTTCTCAACCTTTCTAATGCCGTGACCCCATAATAAAGTTCCCCATGTTGTGGTGACCCCCAAGTGGGTGTGGCCACCAATAAGAGGGAGTAGGACAGCTAGGGAAAAGAGAAAAAAATGGCAGACAGCATGGTTTGGCGACCCCCATGAAATGGTCGTTTGATCCCAAATGGGGTCCCGACCCACAGGTTGAGAACCACTGCCTTGGAGGCTGACCAAAGCCCTTTAAGACTATGAAGAAAAGAAAAGTGATGAATCGCACCAAACATTATTCCATTAAATCAGAAAGAACACTTCTAGAATTATCAGCATGGACAATAGTAAGTTAAAAAGCCACATTCTCTGTATGAACAAACACAGAAATATTAAATATTAATAAACCTATGCATGTTTGACTATTACAGCTGAATGAAAGCTGCATTGATTTTAATTATAACTAAGTTTGATACTCTGGATTTGACACTTGTATTCCATTTCTATGTTCTTATACTTGTGCATACATAATCATTTTTCTCAATCCTTCAGCATTAAAATAGAAAGATAATAGTAATGTGTATTTTTACAAAAGATACACAGACAAAAATACATGTTATTTCAATACAGTCATGAATTAACCTTGATAGGAAAGCATATTCAATAGTTCTTTCTAGGATTTTTTTTTACTCAGAAACAATTTATCTATGAATACAGTAGTCATAATTAGCACAAAGTTATCTATAGTATACTATATCTCTTTTAGGACAATACACAGAACCAGGAAGTGATAAATTATTAGCAAGCCAGGTTCCCTATTCAGAGAAAGGGATTTTTTTTATCCCCACAAAACACAAAAAGGAATAGAGAAAATGAACCTCTCCCGCTTGTCAATGCATATAATATACCTTTTATATATACACATACACATTTGAGATTTATTTTAGAAATTTTCAGGCAGTTCCTTTCTTTCATTCCTACATTTCCATATATTTCAAGAAATTTTTAATAAACTTTTAAATAAAGACTATCCTGTTTTGGAGAAACAGCTTTGAGACTAGAAAAAGGCACTTTCTTCCTTAAAATGAAATAAAATAAAAATAAAAAAAACATTTTATTTTAAAATAAAAATGGAGATAGATAAAAATGTATGGCTGCATCCTTTGAGGCACCTATTAGGTACATCTAGCTTTTATAATCAGTTTTGTGCTGTACTTGGCTCCTTAGTCTACACAGACTGAAACAATAAATATACTAATCATTCTAAATGAATATGAAAGAGCAATGTATGCAATTCCTGAACAATTCTTAGCACAACTGGGGGGAAGCAATGCATCAATTCCTTTTTAGCTATTTTGAATAATAACTCCAATAAACCTAAGACAGTGCAGTCAATGATCAGAGTTATGGCCTTTGTGTTCTAACACTTTTGAAATTGCTGGATTATCTATAATTTCCAACTATTATGTCCAATTCAAGATTGAACTAATTTTATAGACTACATGTTTCTTGGACAAGTTAAGGAACAAACTTATAGCACAGCACTTGTTCCTCTCCCTTCTAATGCATTAAGCATTTGTCATAGTTTCATTTACAAGAAGCTCACACATTCACATCCATTATTCAGAATTAATTATGAATGCAAAGCTCTGAAGATTAGATACTAATATAATCAAATCAAGAAGTTATAATTTTATGAAAATTTACCTCAGAATTAAAACCCTCTGAACTCAAAGAAACATTTCAAGCCAATTCATTATACTTCTGTCATCCACAATTTATTATTGTAATTGCCAAGAGAATATATCCATTTTTTTTAAGCTATAGTTCTAATATAGGCTGGCACAAGATAATAAGGAGAATCATTCTCATGATTGTTCTCCAGAAGGTGTTAAACAACATTTTATTCACCTAGCAAGAGTGTAGTCAGGCAAGTGGAACCAGCTCCAAATTAAAAGATACTATACAAGTTTGCGACTATTTCCACCGAGTATAATTAAACAGAACATTACACAGAAGTACCGTAGGTGGAAACTGCTTAGCCAGCTATTCCTGTATAGGGTTTTAATCTAAAAAAAAAAGGACGAAGAAAAAGAAAGCACAGAAAGAGATGTGAAAACGACCAAGGTCAACCGTGGTGCATTCACACAGACACGAATAACCTCGCTTGAGGAAGGAAAGTAAAAAGGGCGCTCGGAGGCTAAATGAGTGGTGTGAGGGAGAACCTGCCGCCGCTTCTCTTCGGGGAAGGAGCAGCATTAAAGGTTTCGCTTTACTCGGCAGATTTTTTTTTTTTTTTGACACCGTCGTCGCCCAAGTGAATACTAGGCTCCGTCGGTCTCCCCACCATCGCCCGGCTAAGGCGATATTTTTTTCTTTTCTTTTTAAAAGCTTCTCGCGAGTCCAGGGAAGCAAGCGAGGTTCCTCATTCTGCCCGCCTGTTAACCTTATGACCGCCAGAAAAAGAAAGCCTACCTCAGTTCCCCTCAGAACTAAGCGGCAGGACGAAACAGCAGAAAGAATGCCTCTACCCCTCCCCGCCCGAGGCCTCAGAGCCGTTGATCAAAGCGAACGGGTGGAAGAAGACGGCGACTCTCCACAACCTTCGGTCCTCACCTGGCAGGAAGCTTCTCTCCATCCGCGACCCCACTGGCCCGGCTCGACCAGCAAGAGGCATGGGAGAAGGACAGGGCCCTTAACCAATCGACAGCCAGCGTATCTCGTCACAAATGGAGGACGGATTACTTGCTAAGAAGCGCGAGGATTGGACAGCGGCAGACGCTTGATTCCAACCCACTCCCGCCCCCAGGGAATAAAAGTGATCATGGAGCAGAGACTGGCTGACCTCGCCAATTGGTAACACAGATGAAGAGTAGTGAGAGTTACCGATTCGGCGCCCGCGCGGCCAGGGCGCAGAGGACATAGGCAAAGTGGGGGAAGGGTCCAAGAATGAAAACTTCTTGCAAGTCGTAGAGCTCGTTTCGATCTTCCCCATTTTTATTTGGAGATGAGTCCCAATGAACTTAAAAGGGATTCTTTCCAATTAAAAGTGTGCAAGCCCGCAGCTGCAAAAACACGAAGTTAGCTAGCAAACACCCTTCTAAGTTTATTGCCCATTTCCATCTTGCTCGCTACTTCTACGATATTCGTACAAAGCCAGCATTAATTCAGTTTCTCAGTGTAAATCTAGATGGGTTTTGAGATACTTGAAAGCAGAAGGAAGAATTATATTCTGCCCCTCCCCCATCACTATTCCCTTTCTACCGGGAAGATAAGTTGCCCCACTTGGGAGGCAACATTGACTCTTCAGGAGCAATAACTTTGTTAGCCCTGTCCTCCATTAATTTATCCAATGTCCAAGATATTTTTATTTTATGTTTTTATAACATAAAACATTGTTTTTAATGCACTTGTAAGTGGTCCAAAGTCACTCTGGATAATATAAGGGATGACATATAAATGTTATAAATAAATAATGGGCATCACCACAAGTGCTGATAACTAAAACAGACTCAGAACTTGTATGATTTTTAAAATTTTGTTTTAAATCTGTTTCCAATCAGCTTCACTGGTTCTCAGTTTTAGTGTTTGGGAGAGGGAAGATAGCATCTTCATTTGCTCCATGCACAATTTTATATAATTTCCAAGATAGAGCTTTCAAATACCTTTTTCTCATAAGTTTTCAGCCGTGATCATTTTATCTGCCCTCTTCTGTTCTTCTTTCCAGCTGTTAACTATATCCTTTTTAAAGTGTGATGATAGAATATAAGGTCCTGGTAAAGTTTATATGTACCGTTATAAATAACTGAAGGTGGCAAATATAGCTAATACATTTTCCTTCTCCTATTTTCCCCACCACAACCACACTATGAGGTGGATTGGGCTGAGACTGAGTGACTGGCCCAAGTCACCCAACTGGCTTTCATGTTTACAGCGGGACTAGAACTCACCATCTCCTAGTTTCTAGCCCAGTGGTTCTCAACCTTTTTAATGCCGCCACCCCCAACCGGTCGTAAGTCGAGGACTTTCCCTGCTCAGGAGCGCCGCGCATGCGTGGTGCCGCCCCCTGTGCCGGCCGAGGCGTAGCTGGCAAGCGGCAGAGACAGAGCAGGCTGACCACTGGCTGGGCCACCAGCTGGCCCAGCCCAAGGGAGGTAAGGCACCCACCGGGTCCCACGCATGCCAGCAACCCTCCCTGCGCCTGCCGGCCTCCCACCTCCCACCCCTGGCCCTCTTTTACTTACATTTTTAGTAGTTGCTCAGCAGGGAGGGGTAGAAACTTCCAGACAGCTCGCCTTCGCTGCAGACAACTTGCAGCACCATTTGCAGAATAGGACTTTTGGTGGGCTCAGCAGGGCAGAGACAGCCTGGACAATTCCTATTGGCTTTTGAAAGCCAATAGAATTAGACTCTATTCAAGAGAGTCTATTCTATTGGCTTTCAAAAGCCAATAGAATAAAAGGGAGCAGCACAGCTAAGGAAAGGGGAAAAAAATGGCGGACTGCATTGTTTGGCGACCCCCGTGAAATGGTCGTTCGACCTCAAATGGGGTTGCGACCCACAGCTTGAGAACCGCTGTTCTAGCCTGATCCCTTAACTGGTAGAGAAAATTGGGTTTGTAGTTTTGCAGAAGTTTGCTGTTGTCTTTTTCCTAGGGCAAAGAGAGACAGGCCCAAAGTTACCCAATTGGTTTTATGTCTAAGAATTCATGCAGCATTCGAATTCACAATCTCATAGTTTCTAACCCTGTACTTAACCACTACATCAAACTGGTTCTTATGTACAATTTATTACACTTATGTGAACTGTATTCCATTTGCATATTTGGTTGAGGATTCCCACAGTTCAGAGAAAGCTTACCAGAGCTCTTCACAATCTCTTTGGTGTTTTACTATCCTTAATCTAACATAATTGGCAAACTTTGACAGCTCATTGCTCATTGTGAAAACTGCCTACAGGTAGTCTTTATTTAATAACAATAACTGTGAGCAGCAACTCAGTCATTAAGCGAAGCAGTGGCTAAGTACTTATGATCTTTGTTTTCTGGATCTGCTGGCAGATTCCCATTTTTATATCTGCTAAATTCAGTACCATTACTAGACAGCCCATGACCAATTGTGTAATCATTTCAGATATATTTCCTTACTAGATTCCCCAATACCTTCAGCAATGGTAGAGCTTATGATGTAGTGGAAAAGTTCTTAACTATTATGATGATATTCAGATAGCTCTGTCTTGAAAGTAGTCCATATTGTATGGCACAGGAAATGTTTTAGGACATTTTTTATGTTATAATGTTACACATTCTCTATGTTAGCCCATTTGAGATACCTTGGTTTAAAAATTGTTGCCTTACAATGCATTATTTTGCCCAGCTAAAGGTTTCATATAGACAAACAGGACAATTTTAGTACTGTGTTTCCCTGAAAGTAAGACCTACCCTGGCAATAAGCCCTAGCTTGATTTGGGGGGGGGGGCTAATAAAAGTCCTATCCCAAAAATGAGCCCTAATTTTGGGGCAAGGTCACACTTAAAAATCAAGGTAGGGCGGGAGTGGAACTTACTACTGCAGCCAGGTCTCCCATGGATCGATACTTGCCTCGCCAGCCCACTTCTTCTGCAGCCAGCTTCATTCTACAGCTGAGAATGGAGCTCGGGCCTGCATTTCACCGTCAGAGGCCTTTCCGGAAGGCCTCTGCAACCGAGAACCGAGTTATGGATTCAATCCGTAGCTCGGTTCTCGGTTGTACAGGCCTTCCGGAAAGGCCTCTGATGGCGAAATGCAGGCCTGAGCTCCATTCTCAGCTGCAAATTAAGCTGCTCCTTCGGCCACAGAAGTGGGCTGGCTGGGCAGGGCTGTCAGTGCCACCGCAATGAGTGGAAAAGACTTCCCTCCACCCGAAAATAAGACCTGGTGCCTCTTTTGGAGGCAAATAAATAAATAAATAAGACTGGGTCTTATTTTCAGGGAAACACGGTAGTATACTAGACAACCAGTAACCCTTCAACCATCATTTCCAAGATATTTCCTTAGCAGATTCTTCAATGCCTTCAACAATGGCAACAATGGAAAAGTTCTTAAACAACAAGGAGGTATTGAGAGATGCATCTGCCTTGAAAATATCCCATTTTGAACTGTATAACATAGTCAAACATCAGAAGGTGACCACAGGAAAAGTTTCTTGACTTTTTGTATTTTGTCATAAAATCCTTTATAAAATTTGCCATATTTCAATTCCATAGGAGTCATAAGTTCCAGATTTTGAACGCATTATGTAAGTTAGTTCATTTGAGGTACCTGATCTAAATTGTTGACAAAAGACTATCAACAAAAATAAGATTGTTAATAAACATTTATTTGTAGTTTTGCAATTCAGTTCACTTCTTCAGTTTGAATAAGGGATTGTTCCAATAGTTAATAGGACAATCTTATTTAAAGTTCATTGACTATGAAATTAAATGACTAAATTCTTGATCTTACTTCAAAATAAGAGCTATCCATTTAAAAAAATTGGTTTTTATGTCATGTCTACCATGTTCCATTTCAGCTTCTGTTTTCTTTGCTTCTGTCTCGGACTTTTTCATCTGGGCTTCAAAGATGTCTTCTACACGTGCAATCTCTTTGTCTGCATTAAAATGCACCATCTGTCTGCTAAGAATAGGAACAACTAAATTGAAATCATTAATTCTTTTGTTTAATATCTTAATGTTTTCCCTAAATTCTTCACAAACTTCCTTCCATTGCTTCTCTTTTTGGATGGTAATTGGATCACCTAACTTATTCCTAGAAGCTATTATAGTCTTCCTTAACTTTTCAATTGTTTCCCGTATTTCTTTCTGCATAAGTATCCATTCTGGTTGGTATCCATTATCTATCAGGATCCTATTCAGATTGTGTGTCATAGGATCAATGTGTGGACAGTCTGAAAATTTTTTTAATGGCTTTCCTTTACCACTTAGATTATCAAAGTCTCCTTTTGCCATAGATTCTTGAATGAGGTCTTCAACCAAGCGTTCAATTGCTTGGGTTATTTTTGCTTTTTTACTTTGCTTTACATCTTTAGCTAGCATAATATCTCCCATAGCTAGCTGTCTCTCCATTTGTCGCTGTCGATATTCCATTAGTCGTTCAGAAGCTCTATCAACTCTGAACTGCATATACTGCCTTTCTCTTTGACTTGGAGTACCAAAACCAATACCTTCAAAATTTAAATACTGTCTATGTTGTAGAGCTTTAGATTTCAATTTGTCTTCATCATCATCATCATCCTCTTCCTTATCTCTTGATTTTATTTTCTTGGCCATATCATTAACAACAACTCTGTATGCTTCTTCAATTTGAACAAAAATTGTAGAATCTGCTTTAACTGATCCACTATCTGGATGGTATTGTTTAGCAAGCTCTAAAAACGAATTTTTAACATCATCCAATGAACACCCTTCCTGAAGTTTAAGCAGCTTGTAAGAGTCTATAATGTTCCGAGGCTTGTGATCTGACATCAGTCTACAGTTATAGATAAAACAATGTTGAACTGATTTTGCTTTCTTTGGAACCAACGCTGAACACATCCAGACATGATGGTGTATTTTTCTCATCAGCACCACACAGACCCACTTCATAATTCTTCAGTGTAGCTATATTTTAACCAGCACCTAACTGGAAATCTGAATAAATTTAAATAGAATTAAATGAATTATTATGAATTTATACTTCTTAAATTATCTATTGTTGATACAAGATTTTTTTTGGTTAGACAGTTTTAGAAAACCAAATTGAATGGTTACACATGCAGTAAAAATTTAGAGATCAAAAGTTTGTATACTGCACTTTTATATGTACTGCTGGATATCCCATTATTTCAATGGAATTTAATTAGTTTAGAAAATACGTTGATTCTGCCTTGCTGTATTAAAACAGCTGAAACTGTTGTCTCGAGTACTAAACAATTATGAGTTAGAGTTCAGTATAGATTGCACATACTCAACAGATACTGACTGAAAGAAATACAATCCATTTTCATCAAACAGTGAGATACTTAAAATGTAATTGATCAAAAAGTCAATTTAGTAGCCCAAACTAGGTAATCAGTTAGGTCAACTAAAAACAAATGACAACGTTCCCAGCTGTCTAACCTAACTGTGCAAATTTTGACCCAGAATGTTGCAGAATGCCAGCATTATGCTGTTATGCTACAAACGATGATATGTAAAACATAATGGAATTTCTTAGCGCTGTAGGATTCAAATCATGAATGCTTACCTTTCATTCTTCTATAAAAGCATGGTTATTTTGCACATCTTGAAAATATTGGATTCTACTGGTTTTTTTTAAACTGTAAAAAAATTAAAATTCCCACTAAAAATATAAACAACAGCAAAGGTGAACTGTTGGTCCATCAGTGAAACCATTCTATTATTTACATTACTAAGCTGACGTGTCATTATTTTGTATGCATTATATCAATACTCTTTCCTATTCACATATAGCTTTTGTTCCATCTTAATTAAAATAATAGAACTAGAAAATGTATTTGGATTATTTTTTTCTATCTCTAGTTATCCTTTATTGTGACTCATTCCATAAAGAAGTTGTTTCTTACAATTCACCTGTTCATGATACCAATTAAATCCCTTTCCCTCTCCAACCTAAAACAAGTGCAAAGGAGCAATATAGGACTGGCATTTGGTGCAAGCTCAGTTTTGCTATCTTGTTCATTTATTCGCACTTCTCAGGCTTGAATCAAACCGACATTTATATTTGATAAGAAATTGAGAGGCGGGTGAGGGGGGGAGCGAAAAGTTTGGTACTCTGCCAGAACCGCAGAACATTGCGCAGTATTTGGAATCTGTGAAATTTAAATTCCTGCTAACCTGCGAAAAGAAAAAAATAAGGCAAAACCTTCCTCTCGTTCCCTCGCTGCATCTAACAATCTCACCACTTTTTTTCACTCCTCCAGCCAGTCATCTTTAGCACGTCGGCTACGTTTTCAGACTTAAATATCTATAATTTAAAATTCAATAACGAGCTACCATCGATAACACCGCAGGACTAAGCCACAACTTCGACGTAACCCTCAGTACCCAAGACCAACGTCCTCTGAATGATCTATTATGTCGAAAGGGGTTATGGGAGGCGTAGTTTTCCTAAGGACGGCGTGTGAGTCCCGAAGAGCCAATCATGATAGCATAGGAAGATAAAGCCTCTTCCTGGATCGGCATTAAAGGGAAACTAAAACTCTTGTTTGTCTATAGTTATTCTGTAATGAATCCATAATAATTACGCTACAACATTAATGATGGAATTCAATGGTGTGTATTAAATTATTAAAATTCATGAAATAAATTGTTTGCAGCAAGCTTAATTGCCTTATTCGTCTCCAGATACTTTTTATTTTATTTTATTTATTTACTTCATTTCATTTTTATTTTTAATATTTTTTACTATTTTAAAAGAGTATGCCAGCTAATTGATCATCTTGTCTTTAGCCAGATCTATACAGATAATTACTAATAACCTCAAACTTTTCTGACGTAGTTGGGAAACCAATGGGTGGAGCAAGTTTTTAAAGCAGAGTAAGAGACTATTCCCCACTTGGTTTTGGCTGCTGTCACAACTGAGTGTCTGTGCTTTATGGTTATTTTTGAGAACTGCCTTTAAAACTAGGTCTCCTGCAACAGTTTCTGCTTAAGAAAAATAGACCGAGACACTACTGGAGCATGCTGAGATCCTTGAGAACAAGCTGAAAGCCTCCAAATTATGTCAAAAGCGGAAGAAACTCGAGAAACAGTGGCTGAAGAGTATCATTGTTTCAAACATGTCACTGAAGAAAAAGTTGAAAACTTCCCAAGTAATGGGAGAACAGAAGAACAGAGAAGATCAATACAAGGAAGAAGGATTTGTTCAAGGAAGGAGTAAAACGAGCAAATGGAAACCAATTTATCACTCAGCATGCAATACAAAAAGGAAATAAAAGTGAGAAGTCTTGAAAAAGTCAAGCCACAGTATAAAGTCTTTCTCATAGCTTTATCTCTAGCTGAGAGATAAAGGAAGTGAAAGTAAACACAGCTTCTGATTACAGGAAAAAGTTGGAAAGAGCCAATTAAATTAAGCCAATTAATTTAACCACCTCAACAGATAGAAATCACATCATTAAATCTCTTACTGCTTGTTAGAGACACATAGAAGAAAAGCACTATACATAATAACTGACAAGTATTGATATGCTAAGGAATTATGGTTGTTTGTGTATATTGCCTGGGAATGTAATACCATCCTGAAGAATCATTTCCATGCAACCCATCCCCACATCAGCAACTCTGAATGGGAAGGAGACTGGAGTTAAACCCAAGCTAGGCAGCGTTCCTGTTTGTCTGTTATGGTTCTCTTCTGGCTATGCTATTGTCTCGCGGGGGCGGGGGCAGGGGGGAGGGTGTTTTACTTAAGACAGCTGGTCTATGACTTGGGGATTCTCTTTAGTTCATGACTACTGCCAGATAAGCAGGTGGGCGCCATGGCCAGGAAGACCTTTGCCCAGCTTTAGCAGATGTACCAGTTATGGTGTTACTGGACCAAGAAAACCTCACTATAGTAAATCATCTTACAATAACTCATCTTACAGTAACTCATGTTCTCATCTACACCTATTTGGACAATTTATGTGCAGGTACTCTTTGTCAGTCCTTTGAGACAGGCCAGATTAATAATAATAATATGTGTCAAGCACAGGCAATCAGTAATCCAGGTAGTTCAAGTAAATATAGGTTTATTGTAAGCCAGTGGTGGCGAACCTATGGCACGGGTGCCAGAGGCGGCACTCAGAGCCCTCTCTGTGGGCACGCGTGCTGTCGCCCCAGTCCTAGGCCTTCAGCTGGGTTTTATAAAACCTTTTTGCTTTAGGTCTCCGCCGCCATGTGCAAAAAAAAAAAAAAAGGTTCAATCAGTCAATTTCAACTTCTCGCGGGAAAAAAAGATCTTGCAAAGTTGGAATTGATTGATTGAACTTTTTAGTCCCACCCAGTTACTATTGTAGCCATGCCCCACCCAATGGGCCACACCCACCCAATGGGCCACACCCACCCGGCACCCGATGATGCATAAGTGGGTTTTGGATTGCAGTTTAGGCACTCGGTCTCTAAAAGGTTCGCCATCACTGTTGTAAGCTAATACTCTCTACAACCATTAGCATACAATAAACCTGTATTCATTTCAACTGCCTGGACTCCTGAATTCCTGTGTTTGACATTAATCTGAATGATTAATGGCCAAAGCAAATTGGCAGTAGATGAGAGTCAACATAACTGAAGGTGGGCTGGACTTAGATTTCTTGTGGGAGCAAGAGACTTGAGATTTATGACACATTTAACTTTCTCAGGCTCAGCCTGGTTATCTGCTACAATAAATTGTGTGTGCTGTCTGACTCTCAGTGACTCTGGGAACAGGCAATTCAAGTAGCACAGAAATCTTGAAGGGTATAACAGAATTTTGAAAGTGCCATCTCTAATGTTCTTTATTGCTGAATACAAATTAAGGTACTTGTATAGCCGGCCCTAAGCTTATTTATATTGTAGGCATGTCGCAAAATACTCTCACTTTTCTCTAGAACATTCTTGTGATTTGTAATAATAAATTTAAATTTCTGCAGCATTTCTTCCAAATTTATGTCTGAAATCTTATTTCACTCATTTCTAGCAAATGAGCACCATTTTGTATTTTGCTCAGAGTAGGTTATTTTCTTTTAAGTTACTGCCTATATGGGCAGCTCTATATTTTTTCTTCTCCACAACTCAATGTCTATATTTTAATATTTAAAACTGAAAGTATTTTTGTTTTGTCTTTTTTTAAATACAGTTTGATTTTACTTCTTGTGGTCTACTAGGAAGAAGTGTGTGTGTGTGTGGGGGGGGGGGTTAGGATTGAATTTTCCAGCCAAATGCCTCTATCCTATATAGTTCGGGAGTGTTGTACTGCTGCAGATTATTTCAATATTTTTCAATCTTTTAATCACTAGTAAGGCAACATACCTCCCCCTCTCTCATACAACAGGTGAGGCAACCCCTGAAATGTAGTTAGTTCAGTAGGAATTACCAAGATGCTCACCCAAAGTTGGAGAAGTCAGATGTAAGACCCAGATGGCTTTTTAAAGAGGAGGCCAGCATTCCCAGATGTTTGCCCTGCAGGCTCAGCAGTCTGCTGAAATTACATTTGATAACTCAATATATATGAATTGGAGAGAATCCATAATCATTTTATTAAAGTCAGCAAGTTACAGTGAATCAATTGTTCACAGCAAAACAGAACTGAGATTTATCAACAGGGGACTGAAGATGAGCAATGCATTGGATCGTAGGCAAATGATCATTTTACAAATAATAAATACTATTGATACAAGTACACGGGAATCTGGGAAAATAATCATTTCTGTAGTATACTTAGCCTTTGAAAAATGTGAATGCCAATTAAGCTGGTTGTTATTTTGACAGTATGACCTTGCCTCTCATTTTGAATGGGGAGAGTTGTTAACACACCCCTTATCAATGTCCTTGGGAATGTTCCATTTTATAGAGACATACTGCTCATGAATTAAAGGCCATTTGTTGATTAAATAAAGGTTACAAATCCAGGATGTTATATGTCTTGAGGGAACAGCCATGGATAATAAGCTTGTTTAGCAATTAAGGCTACTGTGGATATTTACTTATTTAGAGTATGGCGCTATTGTGGATAAATACAATTTTATATTAAACAGCCAAACAAAGCCAGAGATATTCAGGAACCATCTATGACCTAGGTATGAGCATCTATGAGACACAGAGCAAGTAAAAATTCCCTTTATAGTACAATGGCATTTTCATCAAATAAATCAAATGCCAAAAATATTTTTGTTTGGCTAATGCTATCTTTGTATTTGGAAAATTAGATCTTGAAATTTAGTACTATTAAGTTCTGGCTTACCTTCTGACAAATTAGGGTTTTATTTCATATTAGTATTTCACATTAATTTATTTCCTTTTAGAAATCGTGTCTTTCTTTTTAAGATACGTTTTTGTTCTTTATCTTGACTTTACCAATATTTTTCTAGCTTTCCTATATATAAGAAAAATGTTTCCCTTATATCTAAGAATACAATTAATGCAAGTGTATTTTCCTCTTACTTGATTGGACAAAAGGATGGAATTTCAGGCAGTAGCCTGTTAACTGTGAGCAGTAAAGCATTCTTTCAGCTAGACACTAAGCCTTCCACACTCTAAATGCTTTTGTAACTTAATCTGACATCAGCTGAAGATTTTCTTTTCAGTGCTGCTCTTTACAATTTAGAAGAACACTGAAATTGACTTCTGTATACAGTATTGCAGAATAATTTGGAGGATTTTGGTAAGTGCTTTTTACTTTTCCAATCAAAGGGACTTTTTACAATGTGCTAAATTAAAACTGATATTTTACAAAGCAAAGTGGGCAGTGAAACTTTCTGTATCAGAATCTGTAAAATATATTTAAATTCTAAAATGTAAACATGTGAAAGAATGAAACATCCAGATAAACAAAAATACTGAAAGCAGTTAAAATATTTTAATGGGATTCTCATAAAAAATTAATAATCTCTAAATCTCAGATAGTTTAAAAAAAATATTGCCATGCTACTGGATGAATCTAGCCTAACGATTTTATATTTTGAAGATGCAATTTGAGCCCAGATAGGCTGGGAAAACAAAGCAGTTATTACGTATCATGTAATATATCCCACAGTTTTAAAATTGATTATCTTGATCACTTATATTGATGTTTTCTTTTTGGAATGATAGAATTAAGTCTCTTAAGAGAGTAGCTGATAGCTAGATTTTAAACCGTCCTTTTAATATGCAGTGTACCTTTTTGATACATTCGTAATACATCCAGATAGCAATAATGTCATTGTATAGTCATTATCTCAGCATACTTTATACAAATACCCTGCTATTGACTATCCAATAATGCATATTTCCACAGTACTCTGCTTTAAAATTCAGGAGGGAGAATTGGCAAACTAAATTATCACAGCAAAGTTTCTTGTTTCTCCTCTATCCAACCAGTTCCTTGCCATTATTATCCACAGTCTTCTCAGTTTGCAAGCAGCCTGTGCACTCTGTATTTATCTGTGCCAGAATTCTAAAATATTCCAAAAGCACAATTTATCATTCACAAATTAGCTTTACTGTCCCAAATTTTTATATTTTTCATAATTCAGATTCAGCTGTTCAAATGTTTCTGATACCCACATTCCTTCTGTTAAAAATATCTTTTTGCATACTTATGTACTGCTATAACTGCATGGATTTCTGATCAAGCTAGACATTTTTAATCTGAGTGTAGGATCATTTTGGAAATAGTAAAGATCACCAATAAACAGACTGTTTTTTCTTCAGGAAAGTTTTTATTGCAAAAAAACCCCCATACTTATTTTCTATCTTATATATTTAACAAACTTAGGTCATATGCCTATGCTATCTTAAACTATACATATATATCAATTGTGTAGGCCTATATTTTATTCATACACAACCTATTCTTCTTGGTCACTTGAGCATATATCAAAATCATTAGCCATCTTCAAATTGGCTTCTGTTACTGTGCAGCTTCTGTTCAAAACTGCTGAATCGTTAGCTTAGCAACTTCTCCGTCTGAGAAAAGGAAGATGCTTTACCAGCTGGCTGCAGCTTCTCAATGTGGCTGCTGGAGTGGTGAAGCTGCTGGGCTCTGCTTTGCTTTTGGCTTGCCTGCTGCTGGTTTGGTGAAGTCCAAGCCTGCTTCTGCTTTGTCATCACTTGTCTGTTAAGCCAGTGTTTCCCAAGCTTGACAATTTTAAGGCATGAGGACTTCAACTCCCATGTGGAGTTGAAGTCCACATGCCTTAAAATTGTCAAGTTTGGGAAACACTGTGCTGATGGCTTTTTTTTTTTTTACTGTCTCAGCTGTAAATTCCTTCTTTCTGCTTTCCTACATGACACAACACACCTATACACCCACACCATGGTGTTCGCCACCTTTTCCTTTTGCAGTTAAAAACAGGTGTGCTATAAGTGCATTGGGCAATTTAGGCTGCCTTAAAGTCCCAGGGGAGAAAACAAAGGGAAGGGATTACTCATGATGACTTTCCTTCCATGCTGAGTAAGCCAATGCTGAAAAATTCCTTAATGTGTTTACCAGTTTTTGCTGAATGTTGTTGTTAATGGTTTATTTTAATTTAAGCTTTCATTCAGAGATGTTGAACACGTAAGGCATATTGGAATCTTGGAATTTTGTTTTAGTTTTAAGAAGAAAGATTTCTTTGTGATAAACTGCTTTAGTATAAATGTTAGATTACACATCTAATGAAGAAAAATAAAGAAGGACCTTATGCAGAAATCCAACTCACATCTGAACATGACTATCCAGATAAATGCTTGCTCATTCTGTCTACAGTCGTAACCTAGTTCCTCCTTTGGTTAAGTAGATAAATAAGAGAAAAAATACTGCTATTATACAGTAGCAATCAGCCAGCTTTTCTTGCAGGAATTTCTAGGCAGGCATCATCAGAGCAAAGGACAATACCATTCAAAATTCATAAGCATTGTCTGTTCTTAAAAATTGCAGCTTTAGGACATAGTCTGAGTGTCCAGCACTTTTTCTGTGAATGAAGTAATCGGAGCTTCCAGATCTGGACTACAAAAATCCAGATGACTGATAAATTATAACCCAAAGTTAGAGATTTCTGAATCTTTCTGTTGTCATCTAGTAATTTTTTTGCAGATCGGATAGTCCTAATGGTAATAAAATCATATAGAAAAGTTTTACTTCCAGAATTCCCAGCAAACTGTTGGAGGTAAAACAGAATTTCAGAAATGTTATTTCAAGACACTTAGATTATAATACAGGTAATCCCTGAGTTATGAACGTTCACATAATGCTTGTTCAAAGTTACACAATAAGCGCCCCCTAGTGCTTATGAACAAGTCCCAAAATTACGAATATTGCAGTACTGTGGCAGCCATTCACCTTTACAAGCAACCGCAGAGGCTCTGCAACATTCATCCTGGTTTTTCCCCCCTCCCCACCCCGGGGCTTCCTAGGCACTAGGCCTTCAATACTCATCCTGCGACGATCGAGATCCTTCACTTTCTTGGCTGCTCCAGGTTTTTGGTGAGTTCGCAGAGAATGGAGACTAAAGTAACACAAGATCAAGCAACATCAATGGGGCGAGATCTCATGCTACTGATCTCGGTGATCTCATAAGATAAGATAAGAGAACAGAACTGAAGCCAGGGGACACTTCCATGTGCCTCCAGAGGCTGGATCGGGGCGTTGGAAGTCTTTTCCAGGTTGCTGCCTCCTGGATCTGAAGCTGGGGGACGCTTCCATGGCCTTTGGGTGGCCTGATCCAGGCACCAGGGGCCTTCTCCAGGCCACTGCTGCCTGGATCTGAGGCTGGGGGATGTGGCCCTCCGGTGGCCTGTTTCCAGGCAGCAGCAGTCTGGAGAAGACCTCCGGCGCCTGGATTGGGCTGCCAGAATGCCACAGAAGTGTCCCCCAGCCTCAGATCCGGGCGGCAGCGGCCTAAAGAATGCCTCCAATGCCCTGATCCAGCCTCCGGAGGCATGCGGAAACATCCTCTGGCCTCAGATCCGGGTGGCAGCAGGAACCGCAGCAGGGAGAAGACGGATCTTTTGAAGGTGAGTCTGGTGCAGCAGGAAGGGAGGGGGAAGCATGAGGTATCTTAGTGGTCAGGGAGGCCTTGGGGGCCTGTTCCATCACTAGGCCCTCCATGGCCTTCCCCACTCTAAGATACCTCATGTTCGCTTAATGAGCAACATGTGTCTTAACGAGCAAGGGAGTGATCTCATTCAAGGTACGAGATTCACTCCCATGGGTTTTCGAGTTATGAGTGGAATGGGCAGGCTGCATTAACTCGTAAGTCGAGGACTACCTGTATTGTATCCAGGTCATAAAGAATTAGATAATCACTAGATAATCACTAGATGGCAGGAAGGAGTTCAGGTCTTCTATATCTCTATGCTGCCATCTACCAACCTTCCTTCCTTCCTTCCTTCCTTCCTTCCTTCCTTCCTTCCTTCCACCCACCCACCCATCCATCCATCCATCCTTTTCAGAAAAGTTAAAATCTCCCAAATTGCTGAAAGTGATTTTTCAAGCTCTGTGTAGAATTCTGAAATTTACTATAAAAGAAAATAATGCACAACCCCAGGTGGACATCTGTCGATGTAAAAAAAAAAAAATCTCAAAATCTTTCAAGTCAAAAACTTCCTTTAAATGGGAATATAAAATATCTTCAATCTGTGGTATTTTTTGTTATTTATTTTGTTAGGGATGGGGCTTTTTTAAATGACAGTATGATGTAGTAGTTAATGACAGAAAACACTGGGCCTGTCACTGTCTCTCAACCTCAGGATTTCATATGCTGGCAGGAAAAGGGCATGAAGATTCAGGACTGTTATTAGAGCATAAAAACAATAACAATGCAAATTAGCAAATAATGTGGGCTAGTTTGAGTGAAACCCAACTGCCAATGTAGTAGCAGTTGCTCAGATCCTGCAAACATCTTAATAAGCTAAGTAACTACTAAGCTATTTCCCTATTGTTTCCTGCTGGTTATTTATTATTGTAGGCACATATGCTACATGTAAATTCTGTTCAAGGTTTTATCAGCATTATTTATGAGCAGAGACATATGTAAATAATCTTTCAGTTTTGTAAAAGGATGCAGTTTCTCCTTATAGCTTGATTTAAATTACTTGAGGAGAATTGTATTAAAGGCATCCTTTAAAGCTGATCCATCCTAACCTCACTCCTTCCCAGCTGCTTGCTTTTCCATCTAAAAGTATTTTTTTTGGGGGGGTAGAGATAAAAAGGCACATTTTATTGCGCTGTAATTAACATATTTGATGGGCAAGAAGTGCAGCAGTGGACTTTAAAGGTCACATTTATAGAGAGCTCCCATTCTTTCTGCCTCAGCATTCATGATGCTTATTTCTAGTTCATTTTTTTTAAAAATATCAACAAATGAAGGCACAATGTTATTGACATGCATAAAACTATCTAATCAAGAATAATGTTGGGATAGGCTAATTGCATACCTCCTTTCATAACATACTTTTCAACTATTTATTTTCATTCTTGCAATTTCTCTCTGTCCGGTTGCCAGCTTCCATTCCCTGAATGACTTCTTATGAAGTGTCACAACTTAAAAACTTGAGAAAGTTAGTCACTGTATCAGCCTAGGGCAGGGGTAGGCAACCTTGGCTCTTTTATGACTCGTGGACTTCAACTCCCAGAATTCTGGGAGTTGAAGTTCACAAGTCATAAAAAAGCCAAGGTTGCCTACCCCTGCCCTAGGGATTTGGAGGCAATCTGGCTGCCACATTTGTCACCCCACGGATTACCAAATTTGGTTTGGCTGATTTGCCTGGCTATGTGGATGTCCCCTTTTTTTTCTCATCATCTGTCTCTTTCTGGAAGCGGCATTCACAGTGGAAGAGGATGACCATATGTCTGGCATGTCTGAACTACGGAAATCTATACAACTGATGCACGGTAGCAACATTACTTTTATGTAACTTTTCCTGGCCGTCTAATGAATATATGCAACCAGTATGATAGCTCCAGTTTGCTGAAACAAAATACATGGAAGTAACATGAAAAGCAATGTGCACTGCAGGATCTATATATATTTATATATGTCAATACCTTTTTTGCCCAATTATGTCTTGATTAGTTTCTGATTCCCTTTTATTATAATTTAATTCTTTTAGCCAATTCTTTTGCAGTTACTTCATTTAACATGCTTTAAATTATAGAGAAATCAGGACTATTTTGCACTGTTTTTCTATTGCTTGTCTCTAGTGTGCCTATTATCCAAATAAATTTTAAACTGATTCTCCTTTTTGATGCAGTCTCAAGTCGCAAATCACCATCCATCAGCTTACTAAAACAAGCCAGAATGGCTGATCGAGTGCTTGTGATTGGCAGCGGAGGCAGAGAACATGCATTGGCTTGGAAGCTGGCACAATCTCCACACCTGAAACAAGTACTGGTTGCACCAGGAAATGCCGGAACAGTCAGTGATGGGAAAATGTCTAATTCAGGTAAAAAGATTATTATATGACAATGCATTAATATATTTGAATGCCTCTGGAGAGAAAAATCTATAATACCTCCCCAAACCATTGTACCACATATTGTACAAAAATAAATGTTTAGGACAATGCATTTGATTCATGATTACACAGAGAAAACAATTTAATATGAATTAAATAGAAACAGGAGGTAGCTAGATTCATAAAGTCAATTTAGCTAGGTTAGTAAATTAACCCAATTTTCTGAACCTGTACAATACATTGAATCATAAGCTCACCAAACAAGTTGAGTTTGCATCACCTAAGAAGATGCATAAAAATTAATCAGTTCTAAAACCAACCAAACTTAGCATGTTGTAAAAAAAAAAAAGGAAATTCCCCCCCCCCACTTATAAGATTTTTTTCAGCCAACTCTTTATATACATTTTTAAAATTATTATTTTCATTAATTGCAAGATTGCTTCTGCTTCCCTTGGGAAGCACAGTTTTCATATTTAGTATCTGGATATTAAAGTATGTGTTTTTAATTTCTATTTCAGGTGTTTTAATTAGCAACCATACTATCCTTTCCCAGTTCTGCAAGGATCATAACATTGGGTTTGTGATTGCTGGACCAGAAACTTTGCTTGCTGCTGGTAAGATCTGAACCTCTTCCAAAGCTGAGGATTTGAACTTAAATTAAAATTAATGCGCCAGTCTTGGGCTGTAGATTGATGTACAATCCTGGACAAAGAGTTCAGTGCTGATACATCATGATTGAATGGCATTCTAAGGATTTGATAATAGTTTGCAGTAGTTTGCTGTTCTGGAGTACAAGGATGCTTTCAGATGATGTATTTGTCATGTAATTGCCATTCCTCGTTTGTGAAAGTTTATGAGGAATCCACATAATATAATCTTACTTTTGCATTCTTCCTATGTTTTCCCACATCTTTTTTCTGGAAAAAACTGATTACCTGGTTATCTAGGAACAGTTTGATCCTGTTGGGCCTGAGGAAGTGGACAGGGTCCTTGCAACTGTAGTTCAGCCACGTGCTTCTTAGATTCATGCCCCAAATATGCCAAAGAGACTGATAAGCAAACTCTTAAATTTCATTCAGTGTGCATTCCATTTTTACAACCATTAACATGTATATTCATGAATATTCATATAGCCACTGATGACTAATAATGTTGTCTTTAAAAAAGGGCTAACAACATAATCTTTCCAACAATCTCATTATAATGCTAAATCAGCCAAACTCTTCCCTCTTCATAGCAATATGAAATTTTTAAATGCTCTTTTGTTCTGGGACAGTACAATAATATGACATTCAATTACATTCAATTTATCTGAGCCTTTCAGTATTTCATTACTAGGAATTGTTGATGACTTGGTAGCAGCTGGAATTCAGTGTTTTGGCCCTACAGCCAAGGCAGCCCAGTTGGGAACAAATAGATATTTCACTAACATCTTTCTTGATCAGCATGGAATTCCCACAGCAAGATGGAAAGCCTTTTCAAATCCTAAAGAAGCATGTGCTTTTATTAACAGGTAAATATTTATTTTCTTTCATTGAAGTATTAAGATTATCTGTTCTATAGATAGGATCATCACAGAGAAAAGATTGTGTTTCTAATCAAATAATTTGATATAGGAGGACCTTACAAGGATTTTAAGACTCTCTGTGTGAAGAATCTTTCCTCTTTTTTATGCCTAATAATATAAAATAACTTACATAACATGACTGAAACATATTTCCAAAATCTGTTCTCATTGGCTAAAAAGAAAAATTAAGCACAAAGACTGCTCTTTCGGAGAGCACAGCAGAAGGAAACATTAGAGGGACATTAGAGACAATTATCACCATTGTCACGCTCTGCAATAGTGGGAGAGCACACCTCACACCAGTCTTTCTTCCTTCTTAATCAGTTTCTTGAAGCAGATTGCCACATCTCTGAGCAAGTTTTACCCCAGTTCTGCAGGTCCACTATGAATGGCCAGTCCATGCAAGTTAGAAGCTAAAAGCTTGACTTTTAAATAAGGAAAAGAGTCAGATTGCACAAGTATAGATTTATGTGTCAACATGGCTATTATGAAGTGAAAAGAAAATAGTACTAATATTTCTTGATAAAATAATGTGAAAAAAGTGTTAGAAACAATGTAAACAATCAAAAATATGTTGACACTAATACATTACTACAATCACTTTGTAAAAAAGATTTTATTGAGAATTCTAGCCTGCATGCACAATAATGCAGATTATTATCTCATGCCAGATCTCAGTCAACATTTGAGTCTCTATGAGGCAGTTTAACCAAGCCCGTCCATAAGCTAATAAAATTAAGACTTCCATCTTTCAAAAAAGAGGCAGAAGATATAGATGAGGCTGGAAAAAAATAATGTTCTATCTGTCTTTTCAGCAACTTTAGAGGTAATTTATTAGGTTTTTCAAGAGGAAGTCTAGGGATAATTGTGATAATTGTGACCCCAGATTGGATCCTGAGACCTCTACTCTTCTATCTTCAAGACTCTACTATTCATATTCACCCTTACTGAAGTATTTACATGATGTTGATCTGAACTGTAAGAGTCCCGAGAATAATGTTGGTCCTTGATTCTGTCATATATAGTTTTCCAGTCTGCAGTTTTACAAAAGGAGACCTTGGATCATATACTGTACATTTTCTTCTAATGTGCTCTATCTTATTTTAAAGTGCAGATTTTCCTCCACTGGTGATAAAACCTAGTGGTTTCGGTCCTAGAAAAAAAATAGTTCTTGCATCCAACCGAGCAGATGCCTCTAAGGCAGCACAAGATATTCTTCAGGTGACTTACATTTCTATGTAAACGTATTCCCTGTATTCATATTCATATTCATGTATAATATTAAGAAAATACATAAATCACATTATGACTTCAGACAATATGTGAACCCTGAATGTGATTCATTTTGGTGTATAATTGCTTAGTTTAATAGTAAAGTATAATAGTAAGTTTACAGAATTCAGTGAAGTTATGTTACAAAGTGAATTAGTAAATCAATGGGCCAAAATCGATTGTAAATTACATTTTATGATGTGTGCTTTTTTTCTGTATGTTGATTATATTAAACCTAAATGCAGAGTCAGATCTCTGCTAAATATTTCTTTGTTTTCAGTGTATTGTCTTCTGACTTCATTGACTTGTGAAATCCAAAAATAGGATAGAAATACTCTAATAAAATAATCCTGACAAAGAGAAAGGCTTATCTATGATGTTGTTAAAATTAAACGTCTTCCTAACAGTGGCATCCAATTTAATTGGTGATGCATCCATAAACACAAGTGATGAAATCTCATCCTATTATAAAATAATGTTGTACAGGACATCACCTTTAAAACTCTCATGTAGGAAATATTTTCTGCCTAAGTAAACCTACCATCTCAGGAACAAAACTTGTAGCTTTCCTGTTACTGCAAGGAAAATTGCAAGTTTTTTTTTTAAACAAAACAAAACAAAATTGGAAGAGAAGGCAAAAAATAAAAAAATCCCTGGCTGGTATTTTTGTCTATGTAGACAATTATGCAAAACACTGATTCCAAGCTACTTTGGGGCCCAACTTTCCAATGTAATACAATAGCATTTTTATAAGTAAGTATGCTGACATGCATAGTCCCCCATATAATACTATGATTACCTTAAGGCAGTGGTGGCGAACCTATGGCACGGGTGCCAGAGGCGGCACTCAGAGACCTCTCTGTGGGCACCCGCGTCATCCCCGCAGTCCTAGGCCTTCAGCTGGGTTTTATAAAACCTTTTCGCTTTAGGCCTCTGCCACCATGGGCAAAAAAAAAAAAAAGGTTCAATCAGTCAATTTCAACTTCTTGTGGGAAAAAAAAAGATCTTGCAAAGTTGGAATTGATTGATTGAACTTTTTAGTCCCATCCAGTCTGCCATTACCACCGCAGTCATGCCCGCCCAATTGGCCACGCCCACCCAATTGGCCACACCCAGCCAATGGGCCACACCCACCCGGCACTTGACGATGCATAAGCGGGTTTTGGGTTGCAGTTTGGGCACTCGGTCTCTAAAAGGTTCGCCATCACTGCCTTAAGGCATATTTCTGCAGTCAGCAGGAGTTGGACTCTAATTCTAATTCTATAATTAATTGTAATCATATCAGATTAGAAATTAAGGATTTGACTTATATCGCCCATGAGTAGAATATGCTCTATAAAAAGTTTTATATGTGGAAAATGAAGTATATTCATAGTGGAAATGCTGTAAAGATGGTTTCTCATAAACAAGAAAGGATGAAAAGAAAAAAGATTTGACCATTGACTATTCTATTTATATTGCAGGACAACATGTGTTATCATTCTGAAGACTCCTCTGAGACAGTTATCATTGAAGAACTTCTTAAAGGGGAAGAATTTTCAGTGTGTTGTTTCATTAAATGTTTGGGTCAGAATTATCATTGTTTGCCTGGGTTACTTTTTACCCTGACTACATATTCTAGTGTGATTATTAACATCAAAAATAAAGCTAACAGAGTGCTTAGAAAAGTGTTGAGCATTATAGTAGTGCTAAGTATTATTAATTGTAGAAAATCAGATGCAATTAATTTGTTGTACTGGCATATTGGGATTTAAATTCTCATTCTGTTCTCTGGGTAATTAGTCAATAAGTTTAGGTTGTCATAGGGGTGCTATGGATAAAATATGTATGTGTATACATATACATATGCACATGCTCATGTGCACACACACACACATACAAATACAGACAGATATGGTATACACACAGACACATATACCATATGCATATGTGGGGAGGGGGCTGAGTGTGAAAGCATATATGAAACTTTTTTAGGGCAATTGAAGTTTTAAAAATATGGTAGTGCCGAGCTTTAACATTTTTAACATTTTCAAGAATTTCATTAGAAAATATTATTAAAAGCCAGAAAAATTATAATTTTAAAAACATTATGGAGGAAGAGTCCTAGAAATGGGTTTGGATATCTTTCTTTTCCTGCATTGCTCCTTCCCCACGTCCACATTTGTAGAATTCAAAATAAGAAAAAATGAAGGTTTGTAGATTTAGGGAAAAAGAGGAAAAAAAACAGATGAATAGACAGTTGTGGGGATAATATTAACCTCCTTGTTGTGAAACAAACCCTCAGTTAAGAAGTCAGAGTGTAGCTGGAAAGGCTTGTTGAACAGTTTGCTGGTGTGGTGTTTATTAATTGAAATATAAATACAATAAAAATATGAATTTCATTTACCATATAAGTAATCCAGTCTCCTTTGCTTTCCTTCCAGTATTTATGCTTTGTTGATGGAGCCACTTTTATTCCCATGCCACCAGTTCGGGTCCAGAAGCAGCTGCTGAATGAACATCAGAGTCCAAGCATCATTGAAATAGGAGCCTTTGCCCCTTTTCCTAAGGTGCATCATATTTGGTTCATGGTCTTACATGAAAGATGCCAAGAAGTCCTGTATACTGTAGTCTAGAAACATTTGATTACTATAATAAAATTCCTGGATAAACAATCATTCAACTTTATCTTTTTTAAATGTTCAATGGTATTGGTGGCTTCCTTTCTCTAAAGAAACAAAAATGTAGCACACAGAAGACTATGCACTTCATTAAAATATGGAGCCTCTGGCACCAAAGTACAAAGATATTGTACTTTAGCACATGCATACTTTACTCTATAATACATGTTTATCTGGGTTGTTTCTGTCTGGCAGGGGAGGAGGGAGAGCCTGTGTTTGGTTAAAATGGTATTGTAAAAGCTGCACTGCTAAATAGACTCAGACCTACACCTACCACTACCATCACCATCACCACTCCACACACACTGTACACAGATGTACACATATACACTGACAGTATTGAATGATTCATAAGCATTGGTAATCAATGGCATCTTGACTTCTAAAGCATGCCCTAACTTCTGTTAGGTTGTAATACATATTTGAAAGATATGCTGTTGTATCAAACAGAGTTTGTGTGTGTGTGTTGCTATTGAAGAAAATGTTTAATAGAGAATTCTTAATGTGTTCTTTTCCTTGACTTATTAGGTTCCTGAAGTTCTTCTGGAAAAAATTAAAAGCACGCTCCTTCAACACATTCTTGAAGGTATGAAGCAAGAAGGTTTGTCATACACAGGTAAGGGGCTGTACTTATTTCTGAATTTTTTTTAGGAATTGTTGATTGTACTGTAGATTAGGTATGCACAAAGTAGGGCCTCAGGACTGCAACTATCCCACCCTACTTAAGCCTTGCATGCGACTTCTTAGTTCTTCCAAAACTTACTATTGAAATCTCAGTTCAGGCATAATAAGAAAATGAAGGACAAAACAGCCACATTTTATTTGGGTAGGTAGAATTCTTTTGCTTTGAATGGTAAAATAAATAGTAAAATATTAAAGTGGAAACAGCTCCTGACTTTTGGCCTACTGTGCAAAGCCTGAGAGCTAACAAAACTTGTGAATCCTGTTTTAGTCCAGCTGCTTTTTGTGCTTAATTGAATGTCTCTGAAGGAGCTTGTGATGAATAGTTCAGTTTTCCAGAGTTGTCTGGCCTAGTTCTGGAACCCTGGATATGACTCTGGATGATTGTCTTGTTGTTTATGTTGGAGCCCCAATCTACATCAGTTGATTTTCTTGGTTAGCAAAAGATTGCTTTAGATGTTATTCTATGAAATGTCATATTGCATCATCAGGTAAGAACTGATCTGAGAACAAAACTGATTGGGTGGGGGTTCCTGATTAAGAACACAAATCCTAAATCCACAGGCAAAAAAGACAGATAATATATTGTTTTAGGACATGTAAACAAAATCATTATTTTACCTTTTTTCCCCATGTAGGTGTGCTACAAATAGAATTAATGCTTACTAAACATGGTGTGAAAGTTTTAAGCGTTGGCTGTCATTTCGGTGACCCACAATGCCAGGTAAAGGAGAGAAATATAATTCCAATGAAACACTAAAACAATAAATTACTATTTTGGGTTAGCTTACTTTCTGTTGTGTTTTGTTGTCTAATTTTTTGTACATTAAGGCTGATAATGCTGCATTAGCATTGTAAGCTAACAAAGGAGAGGCTGCTTTATCTTCCAGACTATATTAGTATATTTTCTTCCATAGAGCCCAAAGGGAATTTCCATTGCTTTTCTACCATACTTTGCCATGTTCCCTGAAAATATTATTCTTTATATCAATGCTTACACAGATCCAGTAGATAGACACAAATATAGCATTTGGGAAAACAAAAAACAACAAAACTGAATTCTGAAGTTAGAACTTCTATAGAACTTGTACTTGATTTTTTTTTTTACATAATTTTGTAGATAATTCTTCAGCTTCTTAAAAGTGATCTTTATGAAGTTATCCAAGCTGCAGTTGCTGGCCAACTCTGCAATTCCATATTGGCTTGGTTGGATAATTGTACTGCTGTGTCAGTTTCCATGGAAAATGGCAGCTATCTGCAAGGTCATAAAAAGAGCATAGAAATCACTGGTAAGTTCGTTATTTTTATGTATTTTTCCGTCTCAGTCTTTTCTTCTGATATTTGACGATAGTCAGGTTTGCTCAAAGAATAGCAAGCATCTGAGAAGCCCCTCTGAGATACAGTGTTCTTAATTATTTGCTAGGTTTGTCTGTTTTCAAGAGTCTCTAAAGAGAAACAAATAATTAAACGTGGAGGTTCTTTGTTAGTAGAAAATTCGTCTCCCAGTATCACAGAGTATGTGAGCTATCTATATAACTGAAGTACAATGGTCACTATTTGTAGAAAATATTGTGAGAAAAATAATGAAGCCAATTATCCTTTTAATTTGTTTAGGGCTTCTTCAGGCTAAAGAGTTAGGCCTTGAAATCTTTCATGGAGCTACTGTAATAAAGGAAGGCAAAATGCTGAGTAATGGAAACAGAATCCTTACAGTAACAGCTGTCAAACAGGACATCATGTCAGCCCTTGAAGATATCTACAGAGGACTAGCAGTCATTTCTATCCAGGGTGCAACCTACGGAAAAGAAACTAGCCATCAAACTATTGCATTCTTCCGACAATTTGTGTATGTGAACAATGGGAAATAACATGTATTAAGCCATGACTTATGACTTTTTCTAGGATTTTCTTGCAATCGGCATCTTAAACAAAAATGGAGTTTTTCTGAGAATGTATTTATTTTTTATTTATTTTATTTAAGAAAATTTATATGGCCGATTCACTTTCAATGACTCTGGGCTGCTTACAAAAATAACTTAATAATAAAAAATAATATAAATATAACATAATAAAATATAAAAATATTTTTTTTATCTCTGAACAACTAAAAAACAAAAACTATATCCATGAACATGATTTATAAAGGTTCTAATCAATTTATATTATTTCATTAGTACATATTAAAGATATAGAAAAACTACTCAGAGGAATAATATCAGTTCCCCTTATTTAATATCTGGCACCATTATCCATTTTTACTTCTAAATATGGCTGAATTTGGATAGACCTCTTGGAAAGTATTAAATTCTGCCTGCGGGCTGATGTAACACTATTTTCTTGTAGGAAGCAATGGTGAGGCCTTGGTTAAAGAAATCAAGTTTAGACCCAATAGCTAATTGTCACAGTATCCAATTTCTGTTTCTTCAGCTAATATTGGAACATGCGGTGGCATCTTAACTCCAGACAACATTGAAACTGAGACAGCTTTGGTTTCTGGTGGATGACATACATAAATGTCAATAATGGCATAGAACTATATTGAATCTTTTTACCTGCTCCATAAGCATGGCAAACTAGGAGAGCCAGGATTGCAGCCATTGAGCAAAGCGATCATGTGGCATCTTGCTTAATGACCACTTTACTCAGCAACTGAGATTCCAGGTCCAGTTGTGGTCATAAGTGAAGGTCTACCTGTACAGACTTAATACCAGTTCATTTCAAATCATAGGCCAAGTACACCATTCTATTAAAAACCATTATAATATTCAATAAATGTAATTAATTAAATAAGCAATAACCAATAAGCAATATCAATCATTAAAACCCAATATAATTGACATTTATCACTTATTAATATACACCATTGAGGGGTCCTTGCTGCTGTCTGAGTTTGGGATGATGTTGCCTAGTTGGATAATTAAATGTCTGCAAGAAAACAACCAAGCTCAGAGAGCACCAAAGACCTCACAATTCAATCCTGAGCTGTGCTGAGCTACAAATATTCTTTTCTATTGATACATTGTTGAACAAAAATAGTTCATCAATAGTTTTAATTACAGGAAGTATTACCTTGCATTTCTTATGTTTTTATGCAGAACTTTTTCATTGTTTCTCTGGTTGTAATTCATTTAACAAAAACAGCAATCAGAGTGGTGTTTGATATTTGCTGCGTTGCAAATATCAATGTTATGAGTCCTGTAAGTGTCTGTTTTATTAATTACAATTACATTTATTTCTGATTGAGGTCCCCATCATATGAAGATAGAATTTCAGATTCCATAGCATGCAGTATCTTGGATCATTCATCTGTGTTATCCACTGCAAGGGGTACCAAGCTAGGTAAGGGGAGGAAGAATGAAAGAATTCTCAATGATCTTGGAATTAAAATAAGTTTTTTGTTCAGGGTAAATCAAACAACCCTTGTTTTCACTTAGCTTGGAAGTTCTTCTCCAGTTCTTTGCACAAGAGTAATTTTCATTTACACACATATACATACACACACGTATCCCATCTTTATTATTTTTATAAATAACTCAGCATGACTTTCATGAATCAACAGCAGCAGCAGCAAAGGAGGTTTTCCATTCTCTCATAGGGCTGCGTCCTTAGTAAACTGAAATTTCTAGTTATTTAGATAATAAACCTGAATGTATTTATACCAAGCAACCAATTGGATGAACTCAGTTAAAGTGGCAAGTTGGAAGACCTGAAAGACCAGGTAAGGGACAGATACTCATGGAAAAAATCTATATGGTCGTTTGGAGTTGAAAATTACATAATGGCATATAATCAGTCTTACATACTATATATGCCAAGAACAAATACATAATAAACATACCCATTTTCTTTCACATAGCAGAGGGAATATCTTTTCCAAGATGACCTCTGGGGTTATCCATCAGTATATCATTTAAAAACAAATATGTTTTTCTTTGGAAAATATAATTAGGTATAGTTTTAATTGATAGAATTATCAAGGAATCAAGTTCAAGTAATATGAATCCATTAACATGTACTGTACTTAATTGGGTACATCTCCACTTATTAATTTACAATCTTCATATACAGAACCTTGACAAAGGGCAAGGTTATAGAATATTCATAATGAAAACTGGTATAAATTGCTTCTATCACCACCACCCCTGTTATTTTGCTTACAGTTCTTTTGCCACTAGGTGACATAGTCAGAGCTGGCCCAGTTTCTTCTGTAGAATTGCCAACATACCTTGATTGTTCTACCTTCATTTATTGTAGTTATTTAATAGACTATAGAAACAGCTGTTGCGTTATAATACCTGCTGCTCAGCTTTCATCTTCCACTAGCAATAGAGTTAGCATCTGCTGTTTACTGTGTGTTTGTACCTGCTATAATCTCAAACAAAAAAGAGGACAAAGTGGCTGAATTGTAAATGCATTTTTACAATCATATTTATCATAGAGAAAATCTGTTTTTATATGTAATGTGTCACTAGTTGGAATTGTTTCAGTGAATAGTGTAAAATTTTACACTCTTATCCTAGAGAAAATTGGGGGTGGGGAAGAGAGAGAGAGAGAGATTGAGATTATAGTTACAGATCTTTATTTGATGCCACCTACATAGAGTTCATAGTTTTTGTATGGACCTATAACCTTACGATATCTACAATAACGGTGACCTTTTTGTTATTGAGAGCATAGGATTCTTGATTACCATGAATACAGTTTTTTCCCCTGGGTAATTATATTGATTCCTGTACAGCACATATTGTAATTTATGCCTGTTACACCAAATTATGCACTGCAAAATGATCCTTGTGCATATGTGAATCTGATATGAGAACTTACAGAGTGCTATCTCAACCACTTGTGCACTTTCTCCAGAACCCTCCCTTATATCCTCATCCTTCTACAAGCAGGTTGAATTGAAAGGGAAAATAGTGATGTTTTAAGTTTTTGAAAGCAATGGTCCATACTATCTCACACTTTTATGGGTTGCAGGTTGCCCTGGGCATGATGCGATCATGCCAGCCTTCTTTGATTTGAGAGCCTCTGGTTATCGTGATCCCATTCTAGTATCCCATGCTAAAGGCATTGGGTCAAAACTTAAGGTAAATGGAGGCAAGTCCATTTTTAAACTGGACTGCTTGTACATAAATATGTGATTAAAAAATATAAACTTGCTCTAGTCTCATCAGAAGGGAATGACTTGCTCATAAAAAGAAAAATCACTTGCTCGTTTATTTTGAACTTCTGTTTATATTTTTCATTATATATTTTTGCACACTGATCATGCTGACAATGTGCAGTCAGTCCACTTTATATTTCAGTAAACTCTTTTTTGTCCCTTTGTCTTTTCCCCTTCCTGTTTCCTTTTTCCTGGATTGATGAGATAATTTTGCTGGACAAAATATCTTCAAACTTTAAGGCTGCACTAAATGCAATTTATGTAAAAGTGGGGGAGTTTCTTAGCTATTTGTTGTGATTTGCTTGGTGCATTTATATCTATTGCTTTTTCTGGCTTTTACTAGGTTGCTAGCAAGATAACATCTGATTCTGCAAGACTCATACAATTGATTATGTTTTACTTATAATTGTATCAGTCTTGCGGAATCAGATAATTGTATTATCTTTAATTATTGAAAATCCCAACCCCTTTAGAGCAGATTTACGTTTACCATGAATTATCCCTTCCACTGCAACCTTCTACATATTTTCTTATCATTAGAGACGAGGAAAACGTACACTACTGTGTACTCTTCTGCTGCACTGAAGGAAGCTTCCTATTAGCCAAATAATACTGGATGGTTTTCAGCTGAGTTTTTGGATCCATCAAAAATTATTGAAGTAATATTTTGTATGAACAATTATTTACATTACAATGTGTGGCTAATTTGTATGATTTTTTACAGATTGCCCAGTTGTGCAATAAGCATGACATGATTGGTCAGGACTTGGTGGCTATATGTGTCAATGACTTGCTGGTTCAAGGAGCTGAACCTCTCTTCTTCCATGGCCATTTTGCATTTGGAAAACTGGATGCTGGTGTGACTCAGCTCACTCAGGGTATCTCAGATGGGATAGCTGCAGCTTGTAAACTGGCAGGATGTACTTTCCTTGGTATGAACACGTTTAAATCAGTTTTTAAACTACTTCCCTGAATCCTAGTGGCACTCATTTCCAGTTGCAAGGCTGAATCTGAGAGCACTTCCATCCTACCACTTCCATTCCCTAATCCCTGAGAAAAAAATCAATTTCTGTTGAACTTGAAACATTGAAAGAATACAGGGCCAATAGGAAAGTCACCCAAGCAGTATCTTTTTCTCGTGGAGCAAGAACAATCTCATCGTCCTCATTCAAACAGTTACTGATCCTCTCCTGCACATTTTCAGTACATGTTATGCACATTTGTCCATTTACAAAACAGCCAGACAAAACATTCTGAGCTGTTCATACGATGGGGAACTTCAAAGATATAATTCTTCTTTTGTTATGTTATGATAAAAACTTTGGCATTATTGCAACTAAGCATTTCAATACTTTTGTTCATGGTTGCCCAATGCTAGAGCAACTGGAAAAAGAGAAAAAGAAAGGTATTATTTGGAATGTTTATAGGCAGGCCACAGGAAAAGGATGCTGTAGCTCCGTGGTGGCGAACCTATGGCACGCGTGCCACAGGTGGCATGCAGAGCCCTCTCTGTGGGCATGTGCGCTGTCGCCCCAGTCCGAGGCCTTCAGCTGGGTTTTATAAAATCTTTTCGCTTTAGGCGTCTGTCGCTGTGTGCAAAAAAACCCCAAAGGTTCATCAATCAATCAATTTCAATTTCTCGCGGGAAAAAAAAGATCTCGCAAAGTTGGAATTGATTGATTGAACTTTTTAGTCCCACCCAGTCTGCGGTTACCATCACAGCCACGCCCACCCAATGGGCCACGCCCACCTGTCACCCAACAATACATACGTGGGTTTTGGGTTGCAGTTTGGGCACTCGGTCTATTAAAAGGTTCACCCTCACTGCTGTAGCTTTTGGGGAAGAACAGATAGTAATTCTACAGTGTACAGTGTAGAATCTAAGAAGAGGGATGACAGAGAAGTTCTGGCCCATAGAAAAATGGCCTTTACAATGTAGCACAGCCACTTACAATAATTCATCTTCAGGTGCGAATGTACTTCTGGTATGGGGCAAAATTCACGAGGGCAAATGTCCTCATTAAGGGCTATTCCAGATAAGAAAACACATATACACAGAGAAAGACACAAAACACACTATCAGTGGTTTTCTCATTCCATGAATGGAGGTTAACAAGAATTTAGCTTGTTTTTTTCTTTTACAAAAATGATATTTGAAACTATGAAGCACTGTTGGGTGTAAGGGTGTAAGGGCTTTGGAAGCATCCCAACAGTTTATTCATTTATGCATGCTTTTGTTGGCCTTTATCAGTGCAATACATTTTGTTGGTCGTATAAAATCAGAAGTCGGGGCTTTTACTAATCTGTGCTATTTTAAACTGGATTTCAATGGAATGATGATTTCTAGATTTTCTTAGGATGCACTGTGTTTGATTCCTTCCTTTTTCCCAGGAAGAGAAACTAATGAAATGCCTGCCACTTGTGTAGCTGGAGAATACAACCTGGTTGGCTTTGCAGTTGGTGCTATGGAGCGAGGCATGAGGTTTCCTCGGCAAGGGAACATTGTCAGTGAAGATATTGTGATTGGAATAGCTTCTTCAGGACTTCATCACCAAGGATTTGATCTTGTGAGAAAGATTTTTTTAACATCGTCCCTACACTATTTCTCTCCAGTTCCTGGTGGACATGGCAACCATACTTTAGGCATGTAAACACTTGCCACTTTTTATTCCACACTTTTCTTGGAAAGAAATAATTTTCTGTCATTAGGTATTGTGCAAGGGACATAGACATAAACATAGACATATACACTGTTAAATAGTTTTACTGTATTAATTGCAACTCTTTGTATGTTCTGATCCTGACGATGTAGGCTCATCCCTAGAATACTTTGAGATTAGGAATTTAATTTATTTTGTTTCCTTAAAGAGCAGAAAAATGCTATCTTCTGTTTCTTAAAATTAATTTCCTTGTATCTTAATAGGAGAGCAGTTGCTAACTCCAACCAAAATCTATAGCAGATCCCTCCTTCCTGTCCTCCGATCAGGAAATGTAAAAGCCTTTATCCATATTGCTGATGGAGGATTGTTGGGTGGTTTTTCCCATATCCTTCCTGAACGCTTTAGTGTTGTTTTGAGTAAGTAGAAAAAGCTTGGAATGTTGTACCAACTGTAATCCAATAAGATAATGAAAAAAATCTGCTAAAGAATTAATGTAGGCATATCCTCTGGTGGACATGTGTAATATAATGTATAATGTAAATAGATTATATGTATAATATACTGTATAATAAACTTGGTGGAATGGAAAAGAAAGAAAACCTGGAAGGTAGTAAATTCATCAAAGAAAAGATGGACTAAGTAGAGAACCACTTCCTTAGAAAATGAGACTGAAAGTTTCAGTGTCTCTTATGCTATCAATTCCAAAATTTTCTACACTGTTCTGAGGGGAGAATAGGAATCTAAGGATATAAGAATCGATCTTTAAGGTTCTGGTCATTTCAAAAATCAACTGCTTGATTTTAATTTCTGGTCTAGGAGTTAACAGGAAAAGCTTGTGTAGGAATCCCCAACTTTGAGGGGCTGGTAAGCACATTTGGAATTTTGAGAGCACTTTATTGGTAATCTTCCAAAATGGTTGTGGAAAGGTTATCTATTCACAAAATGGATGCCAAAAGAAGATAGCAATCTGATAAATTGATGCTTTCTTATTGGCTAATTACTACTTCCTGTCATCTGGATTTCCTCTGCTTGTTTTTATCTTTTCTTCTAGTAGTATGGTTTACTTCCAAACAAGCCCATTCATCATTTTTATTTTCTAAAAAAGTGTATAAGGCCCATTTGATGACCAAAGGTACTTTTGTAAAGAAAGATGATACTACTGACAAGTATTTTACATTGAAACATACTTATCATTTTTTTAAAAAAATGATTTAAATATGTAAACCAAAAAAAGTAATTGGAGCATAGATTCTGGAAGACCCCAAGAAAACATCTATGACACATGGAACGATACTGAAGATCAAAGGGCCATTCATTTTGATCCTGGGGTCTCCAATCACATTTGTCTCAATCGTATTCTCAGCTGTCTGTATGTTTCTTTTTTCCCTTTGCAAATCATAAGATTAATCTGGGTTGTGATGTTAAAGGGATCAAAATATAATCTCTATTTGCACTGCTGTGTAAAAACTGGGTTGTCCTTTACAAATCGTCTGCTTTTTAGATACCTGTGAGTGGAAGATTCCATCAATTTTCTCCTGGCTCCAAGAGGAAGGAAACCTCTCAGAAGAGGAGATGGTGCAAATATTCAACTGTGGGATTGGTGCTGTTTTAGTAGTCCAGAGAGAAGCTGCCAAGCAGGTGCTGAAGGATGTCCAGAAACATGAGGACGCATGGGTGATTGGAAAGGTTGTCCTCCGAACTGCAGGTTATTTAATTGACTAAGCATGTATAAGAACAACTTTATCTTCTTATTGAAACCAATTAAAGTGTGGAAAGATCTCTACTTGGTTTTGAATAATCTGTGTTAGGTTTCTGCAGCTATATCAGTATTTATGAAAGACTTCTGAAAATCCATCAGATTTCGGAAAATAGTTATAACCAATCTAAGAACCAAAACAATTTCAAATTTACCTTATGGATTTTCAAGCAAGTATACAGTGCTGAGTTTGTTTTAATAAAGACTGTAGATCAACATTTAGCTCCAGTTCAAGGAGAAAGCGAAATACAAATTCATATTCTTCTCAGAACTATTCTTAGTAATTTCATGCCCTGTTATAATTTTACTTCTATCCATATAGACACAAGAACAAGGGTTCCAAGTCTCAGTTTCAGTATGCAATAGTCATTATGAGAAGTATAACTATGAGTTGTCTTCTTGAATGGATTTTCAAAATGCACATAAAACCTTTCTCCAGTGCACTATTATTGTATATAAATTAATTAGGAAGTATTGTAGTCAGAGTAGACAAACTGATTTTGGTATCTTCTCTAAGGTTGTATAAATTGTGGCCTAACCTTTATGGATGTTTGGTAACTTGTGTTAAGTAACCTGTTGATCTCCAGATGTTTTGGTTTACAACTCTCTAGACCAGGGCTTTTCAACCTTTTCACCCATTGTACCACTTTTAGGATATGGCAACATCCGAGTACCACCAGTTGCCTAGCAAGGTGTCAAAAACTTGATGACCAAAAAAAAGGAAAAAAGTGATAAAGTACAGGTAGTTCTCGACTTACAACAGTTCGCTTAGTGACTGTTCGAAGTTACAATGACACTGAAAAAAGTGCCCCCCAAGCCACAGCCTGCCCGCCTGGCAGCGCTCTTCCTCCTGTCCGAGGTTTTCATTATTGTGAGCATTTCTGTTGAGGATTGGCCATGGGTGTGGGGTGTGGGGTGTTTGGTTTTTATTCCCACTGTCTGCTGGGTGGTTGCAGCAGGTTTTGGTCACTTCAAATGATCCTGGGACACCGTGACTGTCATAAATATGAATCAGTTGTCAAGCATCTGAATGTAAATCACAAGATCCTGGCGATGCTGCAACATTCCAGCTGATTGTTGCTTTTTCTGGGCTCAGCAGAAGCGCCAGGATCATTGCTGCTTTCCAGCTGATTGGTGCTTCTTCAGGGCTTAGCAGAAGCACCAGGATCAGCGCCAAACTCCAGCTGGAGCCTGGCGCTGATCCTGGTGCTTCCACTGAGCCCTGACAGCCCCAAAGAAGCGCCGATCAGCTGGAAAGTGACACTAATCCTGGCGCTTCCGCTGAACTCTGACAACCCTGCAGCTCCAGCCATCTCTCGCTCAGGCTTGTGTGGTGCTGCCAACCGGTTCAGCTCCCCCGCTACCACTTTTCTAGGATGGTTGCGTACCACCTGCCAGGTGTCAACGTATCACAGGTGGTACCCGTACCACTGGTTGAAAAGCCCTGCTCTAGACCAGGGGTGTCAAACTGCCAGCCCATGTGCCAGATGCGTCACCAGGAAATTGCGCCCACCCCAAAGCTGGCAATGAGGAAAAAGCTCCGATACATTGCGCGATGTCACATGACGTTGCGAGTTGGACATGTCTGTTCTAGACATTAACCATTCTAACTGGGGTTGCCTTAGAACTAAATTTCAGAAGATGTTAAGATTTCCTATCTCTGTCTATGTAATAAAAACGCTGGCCTTAGTGAGAAAGATGCTGTGCAGTACACTTTACTAATGACTACTTTTGAATCTTTTTGTGGCGTGAATAAAAATACAGAGTATCAGTTTAGGAATAAAAATCAGGTGAAGTGTAAGAGATTTTTATTCGATAGTATAATTACAGGAAAGTTTATTCTTTCAGTAATTAGTTCAAAACATCTGGAAAAAGCCAAATTTAACTGAATTTTGAATGTAATGCTTGTAGTTACTACATTTTTAGCATATACTTCTTCAGGGTATCCCCAGGTAGAAATCAAGAATCTCTCTGAAGTCCTGCTAAAAAATAAATGGCCATTTTTGAAGGATGTTTCAAATGTAGACAATCAACCTCAGATCATACACAGAAAGCATAAAGTTAAAGTAGCTATCCTTATTTCTGGAACAGGTAACCATACAATTATTTTCTGGAGTTACTAATATCGCACTGTATATTTAATGCATACCATGTCTTATAGTTGAAGTCGCTTGTCTGTACTTTCCATATCTGCTTGAAACTACTTTCTTAAGATTTGTGAAAAGTTATCACATTTCTAGTAGTTATGCTTTGGATCAAATTGAAAATTAAGTAGAACTTCCAATATCCAAATTTTCCATTAAACTAATTGTTCAAATCCATTGAATATCTTTAATGGCAACTGGAAGCATCTTCAGATTTTAAGAATAAAATTCCTAAAGAAAGCAGAATGGCACCGTGGTTTGAGATGAAAGCTTTTTCAGTTGGATTTATATAACTGAACAGAATGTGAAACCTTCCGATTCTTAAGCTGCCTAAAGATGCAATACTACCTTGCAGTACATCCCAATGAACACAACTGAGCTCACTTACTTAAAATCCATGAATGTTAAATTTAATCCATGAGAGGGATGGAGTTTTCTCCAAATGGGTAGGTTGGGGTTGAGAAACATGCTTCAGTAGATTTCTAAACTTAATAGGCAAATAAGATAGAAAGGAAACAATGTTAAAGTAATCATTTGAATTTAATTATATTATGCTATGCTGTGTCATTTTTAAACGTTTTCAGATGAGAATTTTTTTTAATAGGCTTCAGTCTATTAAATGATCAAGAAACCTTTCATAATAAAAGAAAGGAAAATATGAACTTATATTTTCTGTCTGAATGTCAGAATAAGCCTTTCTTGTTTTGAGCCCCCAATTACACAATGTGGTAATAATATATATCACATATATATCCCATATATCTATGGGATCGCCTTTTCCTCTGCCAATCTTATTAGGTAAGATAAGGTGGGTACATTCCTAGACCCAATAAAGGAGAATATTTGTAGCTCAGGGTTGAAATGAGAGGTCTTTGGTGCTCTCTGAGCTTGGTTGTTTTCTTGCAGATGTTTCGTTACCCAGACTAGGTAACATCATTAGTGCTAGATGATGCTAAAACCGATGACGGTACCTAGTTTGAGTAATGAAACAACCAAGCTCAGAAAGTATCAAGGAGTTTATATTCCTAGCCTCTTTCACTAAATTTTGCCATCCGAGGGGAACTAGGAAGCATGTTCCTGCCCTATGGAACACACTGCCCCTGAAATTCTGCAGGCCTCCATCCTCTGAACCTTTTATAAAGCTCTGAAGATCTGTCTTTTTCTCCAAGTATTGAGATAAGATCAGATAATTGCACATTAGATGTTTTGACTTGTTGCCAGGCCTTTGTTTTTTTCAATGCTTTAATCTACTTAGTTTGATAGTTTTAATATGATTTTATGTGTTGTTTTAATTTTTGAATTTGATCCATCCAAATTTGGTTATGAGTGGCCATATAAATGTGTTAAGTAAATGAATAATTAAATAAATAGACACTGCATTATTAATGGGGCATTTCTTTTGCTTGTCTCAAGAAATTGTCATTTTCAGCATTTCAGGATGGAGTTTTGATGCATTTTGCATGTTTTTCTTTTATTTTGAGGTACAAGTCTTTCAGCACTCCTGTCATATGCAAAAGAGCCTGCAAGTTGCTCTCAGGTAGTCCTAGTAATTGCCAACAGATCTGGGGTGGAAGAACTAAGGAATGCAACCTTGGCTGGGATCCCAACCAGAGTAAATACTTTCTATTGTTTTCGCTCACCTAAGAAAACAACTCAGCTTTCAGGTTGCGATGTGCAAGGAAACTTTGTAGATATCTGATTTACATTGTCTCTTGTTATGATATTTTTTTTCTTTTCTGAATTATTGCTTTCAGTCTGTTTTTGACATTAATCAATGTGTAACTTATTGTAATGTACATTCTAAAAAAATTACATTCACTATTTTGGAGGCTCCACAGATAAAAAGGCGCCACATGACCCAATTCATTAATGTACATTTAGTTCCAGGTTAAGATATAATCTAATATTTATTTGAATACATCTCTAAGCCTACTAGCAAAACACTCACACTGCCTTCACACATATTTAGTAAAGGCTATAATATCACTCTAGCCCAAGTGTGCCTTGTGACTGGTGGCTGTCCAAGCCAAGAGGCCCTAACTTTTAATATTTAGAGGCAAGTAGACAACCTGTGACACATTGGATCATCCTTTCACAGATACTGCCTTCAACAATGACAGAACTTCTCATGTATTACCTTCACTGGAAAAGTTAGGATTAGAGGAGCCTAGGACAACTCATAATAACCAACTTGCTGCAGCCAACTCACCGCGGGACAAGAGTTACACTAATATCAAAGAAATGGTGAAATAGAATCATTAAAGATGCAAAAGGAGGGATAAAATGAAATGCGAATGATAAAAATTAAAATAATTTTTAAATTATTTAAATAATTAAATAGAATTATTGACTTGTCCCATGGTGAGTTGTCCTGTGGCAAGTTGGCCATAGCGAGTTGTCCTACAGCAAGTTGGCCACGGTGAGTTATCCAATTCCAGATTCAGAGATATAGCTCTGCCTTGAAAATAGCCTACACTGAGCTGAATAGTATTACTCAAGTATCAGCACATGAAATATTATATGGTATTTTGTATTTGTCATCAAATACTATATGATAATTCTATGTCATATGAATATTTCCAAATTTACCAAATTTCAATTCTACAGGAATAATGGGTTCCAGATTTTGGACACATTCTGTACATTAGTCCATTTGAGGTACCTTTGTTCAAAACTTATTGTCATATGATGTACTGTTTCACCCAGTTAAAGATTACAGGAATGAGAGTACATAGAGAGTATAGAGTCTATATATTGTCTATATATTATGTATACTCTATATACTATAAGACAACCACAACTAGAGAGTGCAGTCAATGCAACAACAGCTTAATTACCAGAAGATTTAAAGTACAGAAATAAATATGAGGGAAATATTAGTCAAATACATGCCCATTCTCTTGCCAGAGATCCCTCCAGAGTAGCAAATGACATCCCCAGCTGATCAAATGGAGCATAGCATCTTCTGGATGGTTTATACCAAAGACCCCTGCAGAGTGCAAATATTTCCAACTTGTATTTTAATTTTACTTTGTTTTGACTGTAAATTTGTCCTTGCATCAATTGCCAAGGAATTCTTCTTAGGGTATGTCTGCTTCCTTGCAAGGTGCTGCTGGTGCTAGTAGAAGAGTCATCTACTTAGCTTTGTGTCACTTTTTCCACATTGGGAGAAGTCCAAGTCCAATAGATAAGTAGGAAAAGAAGCAAACAAGTGAAGTGAAAAATATGGCACCACACTGTACTTCTAAGAATGGAAATACATTGCAGCCATGGGGGTGGAGATGACTTTTCCAAGACTGACTTCAGTGATTAGTATCATTAAGCATCTGTAAAGTTCAATAAATTGATTGTAGATACACTGTATATCTTTTTGATCATGGTACTACATGGTTATATTTTCTCTCTTTAAGTATGGCATAGGTAATAACAAAGAGATCTCTTCTTACCCTCTCTTTTTGGTGGGCTAGAGGGGGCACTCCTGAAATGCAATTTGTCTGGGAGTTAGTTAGCTGTAGTATCCTTCTTCCAAGTGATGAATTGCTTGAAAATAATCTGCACAATTGTCTGTTATTTGAATTATAACACACATTGTTTTTCAATAAGAGTTGCAGTATGGAGACCCAATAAATGGGAAAAAGAACTTATTCAGTGCAAAAAGCGGGAGTGAAATGCAATGTATATTTAACTTTGAATCTTGAAACTTCACAGATTGTACTTGGTAGATGTTGTATATCCACCTAAATGGCTTTCAGATATATACTGGTGACTGTTAAGAGAATTGTTTTCAGTGTTCACCCAAACATTTACGAGGTTTTGCCCTCTCTAATTTCCTCTTAACTATTGCAGGTAATTGATCATAAACTGTATGGAAGCAGATCAGAATATGAAGGCACAATTGACAGTGTCCTTGAAGAATTCTCTATTGAATTGATTTGTCTATCGGGATTCGTGAGAATTTTGTCTAGTAACTTCCTTAGGAAATGGTATGGTAAGCAAGTTAGATGAAATATTATTGTTAACAGTAATGGATCTATTCTTATTTGTTTATTTGTTTATTTTATAAAATCATTGAATCAGCACATAACTCAGGGTAGAATACCTCATCAGCAAAAGCAGTAGAATCATGCAAAACAATATAATAAACAAGTAGAGAAAAACAAATACAAAGACACGAGGACATAAAGTTTCAGGAAAATTCATTTGGCAGGAGAAAGAGCTAGGTCTTCAGTACTTTTCAAAGGCACACAGGATTAGGACCAACAAAATCTGGGGAGATGCTGTTCCAAAGGCAAAGGCCAGCAATAGAGAAGGCATTTCTATTGGATCTTGTCAGATGATATTGCCTAAACAAAAGAATCTAGTATACCAACCTTTCAGATGCTGCCAGACAAGGAGACATAACTGGAGGTAAATAATTCCACAAGTAACCTGGCCCTGAGCCATGGAGAGTTTTGTAAGTGAGAACCAATATCTTGAATTGCACCCAGAAACTCACTAGTAATCAGTGCAGATCATGAAGTAGAGCTGGTATATGCATAGTGAGGTATTCCTATAAACATCTCTGTGACTATGTGTTGGCTAGTTGCAGCTTCCAAATGGATATCAAGGGCAGCCGCCATGTACAGTGCATTGCAATAATCCAATGGCAAGGTGACTGAGGGATTAAGGGCCATGTCCCCAATTGGCACACAAGATGGAGCTGTGCAAATGCTCTGCAAATGAACCACTGCTGCCATCCGCTCCCCAAGCAGGAACCCAGAATCTAGGAGGAGCCCCAAATTGCTCACTGAGTCTGTTTAGGGCAGTGTGGCCCCTTCCAGAAACAAAAATGGAAATCTTTCAGAGCCAGGTGGCTTAAAAACCCACAGCCAATTGGTTTTGTGAGGGTTCAGTCTAAGCCTGTTCTCCATTCACATCTCTAAAGATGCCAGACAGTGGGACAGAATGTCAATGCATCACTTGGGTGGCCCAGAGATGAGATGTACAACTAAGCATCATCAACATACTGAAGATATCTCACCCTATGCTGACAGATGACCTCCCTCATTGATCTCTTGTAGAAATTAAATAGGAGTGGAAGGAGAACTATATCCTAGGCACCCTAAAGACTTGGGCTAGATCTCTCACCACCAACCCCTCCCATTAAACTGACAGGAACTAGCCCCGAGGAAAAAAATCACCACGGTACCTTGTCTTGCACTCTCAATCTTTTAACCAATCCAGCAGGATACCATAATTGCTGGTACTGAAGGATGCCAAGGGATCAAGGAGGACCAGATTGAATGTACTACTTCTGTCCTGGTTATAATCCCCCTACAGATCATCAAGTGCGATCAGTGCCATCTCTGTACTGTGGCCAGATCTGAAATCTGCCTGCAAGGATCCAGATAATCAACCTCATCCAGAGCATTTTCTAGTAACAGCCTGAACACCTTCTCAACAACTTTCCTTGTAAAAGAAATGTTGGAGATAGGCAGAAATTATTCAGCATGGTTGTGTCTGGTGATGGCTCCTTGAGGAGAGATTGTATCATCACTCCCTTAAACAATGCAGGATCATCCGTTTTCTCAGATACATTCACCACCTTTTGCACCCAATCACATAACATCCCATTTCTGCCTGTATGTAAAAATCTACCATATTTCTGCATTTTACAGGGTTATAGGTGTTGTGTTGCAATGACTAGGCCAACTTGCCACTACAATTTATATGACCTTAAAATTAAAATTTAAACGTTTAAAAAGTGAACGAAGAGGGGCCTTGGGCATAAATCTGCTTTGGAATTTGAATTTGGCACATTCATTGAGCTGTGGGCACAGTGGTTAGAATGCAGTATTGCAGGCTAACTCTGCCCACAATCTGGAGTTCAATCCTGACAAGCTCGAGATTGACTCAGCTTTCCATTCTCCCAAGGTCGGTAAAATGAGGACCCAGATTGTTGGGGACTATAGGCTGATATTTTTAAACCACTCAGAGAGTGCTGTAAAGCATTATGGAGCAGTATATAAGTCTAACTGCTATTGCTATTTCTACTGCTGTTATTCCTCATTACTACTCAGAAGAGATATTTACTGTTGAAAGTTTGGCATATATGACAACCTTTTCTATTAGCCAATAAGTTTTAGATGTGTAATCTAAAACATTTAAATTAATTACCTGTTTGTGTCTTGTATGTCCATACTATTTGATAATTCCCAATATGATTATTAATTGTAGGAAAGATGTTGGGAACTTACCCATCCATTTCACCATCAACTAAGAGAATTAACACCTATAATCAAGCACATCCATCTATAGACAAAATTGTTGGCTGTACTGTGCATTTTGTACTTGTAAGTATGTTTTTCTGGATTGGCAATAAACACATTTTCTGTGTTCTATATATTGGTAGGTAATAATTATTATGTTCACAACTAGCATGGCTTGTCTGTTTGATGTTTACTGTGATTTCATTAATAAAATAATATCTACCAAGATTTGGGAAATCCTTTTGTAGAAATTGAGGCTATGGAATATTGTTATTCCTCTACTTTTGTGCGAAGAAATCAACTCAAACATTCCAAATTATGTTATACCTCCTTTGTCTATATTTCATTGAACTTTTATGGTAATTAATTTTATAGCATCTACCTCTGATGCAACTATCTATAATTAAATATTCTTTAAATGTATTGGACTACAACACCACCTACTCTTGTTAGTAGGGAAGGTAGTATTTTGCTCTGGCTACTTTAATATATTGGATGAGAAATATTGTCTTAATTTCATGCGTGACCAAAATTCTTCATACACTATCTAAATAAAATATTCTTTTAGTGTACCCTTATCCCATTTCCAAATGTTCTGATAATTCATTGTCTCATATCTTAGTGAACAATTCTATTGTTCATATAATTAAAGTACACAAGTTACTGCTCTGTTTTTAACTATTTCTCTTTCACGTTAACCTTGCTAGTACGTTTCTGGATAAGGGGTGTTTTCCCTTCTCTTTCTTTCAGGAGGAGACCAGTCCTGAAGCAATAATTGTACAAGAGCCGGCATATACAAAGGCAGAAGATCCACAGGAGGCCCTATCTGCAAAGATCAAAGAAGCAGAGAACCGGATCTTTCCCATGGCTCTGCAACTGGTTGCCAGTGGAATGGTGCAGTTAGGAGGAGACAGAAAAACCTATTGGAAAAGAGAAAGACAGGAGCTAAACTGCCAAGAGGAAAGGCAGGATTGTTAATGCTTTTGTAGCAGCAATTTCACGTAGTGATGAATGACAATGATTGAGATTCTAAATTCAGTTTTGGTTTCAGTCTGTCACTTCCGTTTATGCAGCAACTCCCCCCCCCCTTTGCTTATATACTATAGTTACAGCTTTCCTTCCATAAACCAGAGCATTAGAACCAGCAACGGCTCCCAGGGGTGAGAAAAGGCATGGGCATAATAATGTGAGCTTCAAATAGTTCCTCTTCCCAAAGGCCAATAGCTGCATTAGACACTGAGCCTGGGCTTTTTTTTTCTATCAATTTACATTGCAATACCTAAATCATTAATTGTCAAGGACTTTCTTACCACTGAGCATCACCAAAAAGGTCAGCCCAGGAGATGAAGCAGTTATAGATGGCCCTGACATTTGCTGCCACTATTTCTTCAACCAAGAATATAGGAGCAAGACTGAAAGAAAGAAATGCCTTCCCCTTTCTATTAATTGAAATGGCACAAGGATAGCTTAATTTTTGTAATCCGTAGTTAATCTGCAGCAATTGAGCTCTGGATTACAAGCTCCTAAATCAAAACATTCACCAGCCCTGAAGAAGCACCAATCAGCTGGAAAGTGGCACTGATCCAGGCGATTCCGCTGAGCCCTGACAGCCCTGCAGCTCCAGCCATCTCTCGCTCAGGCTTGTGCGGTGCTGCGCTGGTTCAGCTCATTCCCCTCCCCCACTACCACTTTTCTAGGATGGTCACGTACCACCTGCCAGGTGCCAATGTACCACAGGTGGTACCCATACCACTGGTTGAAAAGCCCTGACCTAGATGACTGAGAATCTCCATAGACAGAATGGATAATATCATCATCATCAAAAAGGTTTTAATGGAAATATCTAACAGTTGTGTACTAAGTATATAAATATGAATTAAATCTGTCTTTGTGATAAAAAATGGTAAGCAACGTAAGTAAAGTTGATAATACAAATAAATTTGAGACTTGCAGTTCGTATTAGATTATTGATATAGTGAATAAGATTTAATTGTTCTGGAAGTTTAAGATTTTATCTTTCTATCTTTATATTTTATCAGTAAGTTTTGCTCTACAATGTCCATGCTTCGTGGATACAAGGAAAAAGATGCAGATAACTATTGCTTAATGCTTGTTAAAGGAAATCTCTGGAAAGTATATATACCAAAGAGATTTCTAACACCTTAAAGATCAACCTACCCCTGTTCTTGAAGTCTCATAGTGTCAAGGTTTTATTTCTCCTGTTATATTTGTTACTGACCAATATACATTTAAATTGATAAAACTCAAGTAAACATATATCCACTTAATAGCTCAGTATTCCATAGATAGAACGTCAGCATTCTAGGCTTAAAAAACATTTTACTAATTAATTTGTCATATTGTTTCTATTACTTGCATCATGTTCCTGTATTCATTGCATTGTAGTAAATTGTTCTAAGCACCATTATTGATGTTTTAGAAACATTCTAGGTTTTAGCCATTTTACTATTTTTTCCAATTAATATTTATATATTTTTTCTAATACCATAGATTCTTATGCTGTGTGCTTTTTCTTTTAATCTGTCTACTGTTTGATTTGCTGGTCAGTTACTGTAATAAAGATCACCTATATAATATTGGTATGCAATGTGGATCTCAATTACTTCTTTGTAAAGCACTTAGCCTTAGGAAGTGGTAAGGCAGTGTTTCCAAATCTTGAAATTTCCAGTTGTGTGGACTTTAAATATTTAGAATTCTCGCTGTGCATTAGCCATGGAGGATTCTGAGAGTGAAATCTGTGCATCTGGAATTCACTGATGTCAGAAAACACTGCTCTAAGACAATACCTATTAAAAGAAAAAAAAGTACTATTACCCCATCAAATGATTTTCTAGGCATAAGAGACCTGGTGGATGAACCCATCTTGCGCATCTTACTAAACTTCATAGTTTAGTAAGAGTAGCAAAAGGTATATAGTTGAAACCGCTTCCCACTATTAATGGATACATTCTGGATTTCTGTGAAGTGACACAAGAGACAACAGAGGACTATTTGTGTTAAATGCCTGAAACAGGAACTCTGTGATTTATTTCAGGCTGCAGAAATGTTTTTCATCATCAGGCTTCTCTGAACATCATCTTTTGATTTCTCTAGAAATCACAGTTGTTACAAGTTAATTTCAACTACTCTACCAATAAGACTTTTATTCCCCTACACCTATGGTATTAAAAAGAAATCCATTGATATAAAAATGAATTTTGAAACATTTTATTAGATTGGGAGTTGAGATCACAAAATCTTTGGATATAAAAACAAAGTTAAAAGGAATGTCACAGTAACTGAGTTATAGTCTGTCTTCTCATCATTTAAGTTAGTAACAAAAATATAGTTCAGTGGAACTACATCGTTTATATTCATTTTAAAAGAAGTAATAATATGACTTTTGAAAAAGTAGGTAATATTTAGGCCCATAATTCCACATTTACTTTCAAACAGGAATTAAATGAATTTGTTTGTTTTCGTAATATTAACGGTTAAGATAAAAATATCCTGGAAAAAGATTGTTGCTTGATTCCATGATGGAAAAAATATACGATTTGGATGTTTCAAGTACAATGTATTTAGAAAAGGGGGTGGAAAATTTGTGTCATGTAGGAGGTCAGTTACACACAGATCTGGTACTGAATGATACCGCTTTGTTCAATAATACTGGTACTGCTGTGTTCACAGTATTTAGTACAGGATTACAAAACACAAACTCTTTTGATATCACTACTATGGAAAAAAAATGAAGGAACTTAATTCCAAATTACCTTAATATTTAGTAGGTGAAACTATCATTAGTACTTTTAAAATGCTTCATTCATAATTGTGATTATGACCTGTTCTTTTTTGTGGTGCCTTTCTTAGTCTGAGTTAAACATAGAGTCTGATCCCTTGAAGCACAATTCTGACAGATAACAGACAGGTAAAATGACAAGCATTTGCGGCAAGCGGCTCTTCACATAGTTTTCAGATAACATACTGTGGATATACTAATTACACAAATGCCTTGTCACTTAGACCTATCTCCATTTAATTCTGTTTTGAGTATAATTCGGCAAGTTCATTCCTTTTATTTTGGGATATATTAGCTTGAGTTGCTTGGTTAAGATTTTAAATCTTGCTGTCCTATGCCAAACTCAGAAGTCAAAACATACACCAGAATTGTTGCTCTTTTTATGCCCTATATTGTTTAGTGATGGTCTTCCAAATTCCAGCACAACTTCCCATCTCTTCCTAATTGAACTGCTCCACTTGCCACTAGCTGCATAGCAGCAGGGAAGGCTTTGTGTTCTGCCTCCTTCACTCTTTCTGACAAAGTCTTCTCTGTGTCTCCAATCTTCACGGGAACAGCTTCTTGAAATATTATTGCTCCAGCATCAACTTCTTCCTGGAAAGAAAAGAATAAAAAACTTTAGCAACATACAGAAATTTAAAGTCATCTGCAATAACAAAGGATACAGTGAGAATGGCTAACTTAATTCTTAAATGATCAAACAACTATGGCCTGTTTTACTAGGGGGAGAATCTATTATTCTTGAAATATATTTATCAGTATTCCACTAGGGGGACAATCCATGTGTATATATTTTTTTTCTATCTACATTTTTTATGTCTTGTTTAGTTTTGTTTTGTCAAAACTACAAGATTATAGCTCAGATTCCTGATTACTTTATGTTGAGTTCACTATACTTTGCTCTCAAAAGTAGTTATGAGCAGTTAAGCTGCTAGCCAAAGGCTTTAAACTAAATTGATCAACCAAGTAATAAAAATAAGCACATACAGCCACAAAGTGCACGGTGCAGCCAGTGACACGGACTCCAGCCTCCAGTACAAGTTTATGGGCATTACTTCCTTTAAATGAAGGCAGCAAAGAAGGGTGAATATTCAAAATTTTTCCTACGGAAAAAAAAGAATACACTGCTATTATGTTCATTTTTCTAATTTTATAAAATTAAAATATAAATTAATGGGTGTGCATAAAATAAGATAAAAACACTTCCCCCCCCCAATTTAATTAAAAATACAGTGGAAACTGTGTAATGTCTGTCCAATGCAGTCAACTAAATTATAGTTTGGAAGTGGTCAAATCAAAATCTGAAACCAAATGGCAAAACATATTGATAAATCTTGGTTGGTGTCAGGGAGAAATTGCCAAATCAATGATTTAGAACTCTGCTTTAAAGGGAAAAATAAAGCATAAATCAAGATCTGAAGTCTAAATTATGGCTATATAGTGCAGTGTTTCTCAACCTTTTTAATGCTGCGACCCCCAAGTGGTCGTAAGTTGAGGACTACTCAACTGGTCGTAAGTTGAGGACTATTCAACTGGTGCAGCCCCGTTTGCAGAATGGGACTTTTGGCGGGCTCAGCAGGGCAGAGACAGCCTGGACAATTTCTATTGGCTTTTGAAAGCCAATAGAATGAGACTCTATTCAAGAGAGTCTCTTCTATTGGCTTTCAAAAGCCAATAGAATAAAAGGGAGCAGCACAGCTAAGGAAAAGGGAGAAAAAATGGCGGACTGCGTTGTTTGGCGACCCCCGTGAAATGGTCGTTCGACCCCAAATGGGGTCCCGACCCACAGGTTGAGAACCACTGATATAGTGCAATATGTCAAATTTGAAACAGCAATCTATAAGCATCAATGTATGCTTTTAATGTCTAGTCTTTCATCAGCACGTATTAATTGCATTTGCAATACAATACATATTTAGATTGGAATCAACCAAGCTCCGATCCATTGTAATGATACCTCAACAAATTGTCATCTAATGTAGTTCTGTCTGTTTTGATTGGCAATGTTTCTCCAAGATCTCAGGAAAAACTGTAATCAACCTATTATTGTGATTCTTAGACTAACAACCTAGGAATTGAAATTTGGACTTTTTGCAGTACTTGTAAAAATCAGTCTGTTGATAAACTTTTAAAGATTTATAACAAACCTTTAAGACCCTGCATTTGTATAGTAGATGAAGCAAGCAGACATGACCCCTAAGTTCTAATTTTAAAAAGATTAAGCCAGTAGATAGAACAAATTCTTATTTAAAGAAAAACTCAATACTTTCATGTGTCCTTGTTCTGCTTCATTGTCTCTTTTAAAAGAAATACCGATGTGTATTACATGAAGTTCCCATCATAACTGCTCATAAAGGCTCCACTC